AAATTAATTTTACTTTTTTTCTCAAATAAATTTAAATCTTTTATAAAATTGATTTTAATGTAGAAACATGAAGCTTATTAAAATAAAAACAAAACGTTTTCCATGTGGCCCAGAACTGCCAACTGCCAAAAAATAATTAGATGCGATTATTGCATAATTTCTAAATGAAGGTATAATGAAGTACTTACAGTATATATGAAGAATAACAGTGGTCAGTGGATAGATAGTCAGGGATAATTGTAGCTAATTTTCTTGGCGCGCTCATCGCCATATTATTTTGCCATGTCTGAAATGAGTAAGTGGAAGAAATTTGCACAAAATATAAAATTAAAACGAACAAATGTTGCTACAAAGCAAAACAAAACAAAATGTGGCGAAGCAAGTAAGAACACTTGTGATTCAAGTATTTTGGAAAACAAAGAAATCACGGTGCAGCCTCTAGCAACTGATGCAACCGGGAAAGCTAAAAAATATGAGAGAACCGGTCCGCAAGAGTTTGTAACATTCTTTTTTGAAGAGGTCACTATTCCCAATATCATTGCTGCTTGTAACAAGCACTTCAAGAAACGAGCTAAAGGCATGTCATGTGATGTTCTTGCAAGTGAACATGGCCCGTCATGCACGAAGATCTCACAATTACCAAGCCTCAAGTTATTTCATATTAGATTTGTTATGACGGACGATCAAATGAACAGCGAGGGTAGTAGTACTGCATACAGTCGATACAGTGGTATAAACTCCAGCCCAGTCCGATTTGGATCAAAAGCATCAACATCGACACGCGCTGATCCAATTATCGTCCCTCATTTGACGAGTGCCATTGGCGTTAAACGTAAACTAGAAGTTCCTTTCGAGCTCCAGTTAATAAGGTCCCAAAAAGCCTTGGAATTACAACTATGATGAGACTCGGACAGGCTATAACGGCTACGGAAACTTCGCAGGAGATTGTTGAAGTTTCAAGATTTAATATTATTGATATGGTCTGGTCACCGCCAGTATCTGTACACTTTACAATTGAAAAGGAGAAGTTTGCTGAAGGTGGTTTTCATGCTGCATACAAGGCTACCTTGAAATCACCAAATTTTGAAGGTAAAACCTACATTGTGAAATGCTTCTTACCTAAAACAGTCAAACTGATTGGAGCAGTAAACGAGACTCAAGAAGACCATGCACGAAAGTCTATTCAGATGCAAGCATTGGCAAATAATTTCGCAGAACAAGTTGCAGCAAAAGTAGAGAAAGATGGAAACAAAAAGTATTTGGAAAGCCATTTCGGTATGTTGATGCATTCTTGGGAAAGGTTCAGCGCACAAACCAACTTGTAACAATAGAACAGTTTGCATCCGGTACTTTCCAAAAATATGTAAACAACGATGGAACAATCTCACATAACAAGGACATTGAGAAGCAAAGAAAGGCTGAAAGCCTTGTTCACTTTTCGTTTGTAAAGTTGAACAGGAAACTCTTGTTGGTAGATATCCAAGGAGGTGAGTATAACCTAACAGATCCTGAAATTGCCACAGTCTCTGGCATATATGACAATGACAACCACCTTCTCTTCTGTGCTGGAAATCTATCAACAGAAGCATACTTGAATTTCTTCAATGCTCATAAGTGTAATGCATTTTGTAACCTCCTTGGTCTCGTGCCGGAAGAAGTAGAGAATGATGCGTAAAGATACAAGAACATGAGAATGTGTCTTTTGAAAATGTACATGACCAGTTAAAGTGTTTCTATAATTTATCATTTTGTTCGACATTGTAGTTCTTTTACTCTTAAAAGTTATTCAATTCAAAATCCACACCCCTTTAGACGACTACAAAGACAATGGGAAACAGCCATTATAAAGGCATTAATCCATTCATAAGAAATTTTAGAAAATTCATTATTTCAATTAATATTAATTGATTATATGCCTTTAGTCTTGTATTTCAATTAAGAACATATACTGCAACCAATCTGAAATTTACATACAAAGGAAGAGTAGGAGAAGATATTAGAATGTTAGGGTTTGGAATCCAAGTGAGAATATATACAATTTAAGACCTAACCAGGAACGACTGCAAAAAATGCAGCACAAGGTCCTCTGGTAGGAATTGAACCTACGGCCCTGCAATTCCGGTGCAGCGCTCTAACCGACTGAGCTACAGAGGCCAGCTGTTAAGCTGTAACCGTAAGTTCATGTATATATAGGTAATCGGGTGTGTGGGTTGTGATAAGGTGGACTTCATGACTTAGACTCTGCACTTCACTTGGTGGAATTAATATTAGAATGTTAGGGTTTGGAATCCAAGTGAGAATATATACAATTTAAGACCGGAATCGCAGGGCCGTAGGTTCGATTCCTACCAGAGGACCTTGTGCTGCATTTTTCGCAGTCGTTCCTGGTTAGATCTTAAATTGTATATATTCTCACTTGGATTCCAAACCCTAACATTCTAATAATTCTAATATTAATTCCACCAAGTGAAGTGCAGTCATGAAGTCCACCTTATCACAACCCGCACACCCGATTACCTATATATACATGAACTTACGGTTACAGCTTAACAGCTGGCCTCTGTAGCTCAGTTGGTTAGAGCGCTGCACCGGAATCGCAGGGCCGTAGGTTCGATTCCTAAAAGAGGACCTTGTGCTGCATTTTTCGCAGTCGTTCCTGGTTAGGTAATAATTCTAATATTAATTCCACCAAGTGAAGTGCAGAATCTAAGTCAGAGTAGGAGAAGGGGTGTGGATAATCAACTGACTGACCCTAATATGATATTTATAGAATATCAATCATAAAACTTCTAGGTAATGAAGTATCATCTAAATTGTTCATGAACATGAATACTGTAAACTGTGACATTCCACATGCTGCACACAAAGTTTATAAATGGATACTAAGAGAGTATAGTATAATGTTTGTTTCTTGTTTTAACAAAAACAATATGTTTGTTTTCTTGTTTTAACTGATGCTTCAGCATTTTACATGATCATCATTTTACAAAATTTTATTCACTTATCGAATCCTGGTATTTTTGTTTAAGTAACAAATATTTTTGAACAAATTCGTTTCACTGGACATTTTCTGGCTCCAGTAGCAAATCATTGAACAAAGTGCGTAACTCTAATGACAGAAAATAATCTGGAGCTTCCAAGACTCCTGATAATTCTGCTACAACTTGAAGATCTTGATTGTTTAATACTTTAAAACCTATAAATGAAAAAAAATTGTGTGAATTCTCCATTCTGTCTTGTCACCATGTGTTCCTCTTTGGGGGGGGGGGGGTAAATGGTACTGTATGTTGCACTATATACAGTATACCTTCCTCTCTATTTCCCCCTTCTTCAATAAGCCTTTGCATTACTAGTAACTTGAATAAATTATCTGGACTCAAACATGCCTGAAACAAATAAGTCTTGGGGGGCCTGAATGGTGGATTTTCAGTATTGCCAATCAATGCAAAGAAACTGGTGTGGCATGTCACAGCCATGCTTTTATGACATAATCCAATCCACATTTTTGAGGTTGATCTGCATGGGGTAGCATGTGTGCTGAAGTGCAACTTTTTGGACAAACAAACAATATGCTAGTAATAATATATACTGGGAAATGCAGTTGTCTTGCAAATATTCAAATGGAATTTGGACACATTTTCGTTAACACACAATCTGTGGCGAGGAATTTAAATTCGTATATATAAATATGGCTTGGAGATACCAAAATGTAAGGAGATACCAAGATGTAAGGAGATACCAAAATGTAAGGAAATATCGATGTTCAACTAATATAAATATTGCTTATAAAGATAAGATAATACATTGTGCATTCGTGCAATATAAGACAAGTAACCTTTTTTTCCATTCCATATCTTTCTGGAAATTCAAAAATATGGTCTGCAATACCATCTGCCATGAGAGTTTCTTTCTGTGCCCGGATTCTATGGGTATTCCATATTGTCAGACAGAATTCGTCAAGTTCTCTTTGCATCATAGGAATCATGATATAAGCAAGCATTGACCTGTTGAAAAAGTAAATAACTACACATGTAAACACTGTGGTTGGGTGCATACTTTTTCAACCCTTAGACTTGAGTAATTTACTCTTAATATTTAGTGACACTTGGTAAGAGCAAGTTCCTGTGAATATGGTGGTCATGTTGTATTTAGACATACACCCACCTGCACTTTTTGCTTACCTCAATTGAAGTGATTTATTGCTTGAGACAGGCAGTATTATATTGTGTGAAGACTTGCAGTAATACATTACATGCTTAGCTAGTATATGAGGTACGGTAATTCAGTTGGATGCATATACCTGTCTGTTTCATCTTGTGGGTTATAATGGCATTCTTCTTTTAACCAATTCAATCCAATTTTAAAATACTTCTCTAAACGCTCATGTAGTTCCCTCCACCATCTTTCAATCTACAAATTAGAAGATAGATAATGTCAACATTTGAGTGAAGTATATACAGTACAGATATATACAGTACAGTTAAAATGGAATATTTACAAATACAGACTAAAGCCAAAAGGCAGTAACTCAACTTTCACATCATCAGAATAAAATTGTGTAAATTTGACTGAAGATTATATATATACACATGTAAATAATATAACTATTTTAGAAAAATTATTTTAAAATATAAGTTCAATTACAAACCTGATTTGAAGGCGAGGGTCCAAATAAAATTGAATCAGTAGGGTCATCAAGATCTCCTTGGCTTTGTTGGCTCATGAGGTATGCATGAATGGTGCTCATGGTTGTGGTTTCAGTTCCCTTATCAAGGCGGATGTAGTTTGGTAAGATACCAGTCTCCAACAATGACTGCAAGTACCACTTACCAACAAATACTGGGTTGGAATTTGTTGTCCATACTTTGAGCCATACTTTGAGCCAAATTAATTTTCTGCTGGCAGTATCGATACACCCATACATTGCAATAGGGAATGTCGAACTTTGATACCCCATCATCTTGTCGTGTCCGTCCATTGAATATGTCCAATTTGGTCCAAGAGTTACAAAGTGACCTTTGGGTTTTTTCTTCTTGGCACCAGCTCTTCTAGCTAAGCCATCCGGATCAAGATCGAACATCAAATCATGAACACGAGCTCTAGGGACTTTTAACTTGTACTTCTGGTGTATCTTTTGGGTCATCGCCCTATATAACCAAGCATTACTCCTGGGCCATCAAGCTCTTTCCTAACTGCTTCCCTTGCAACGTCCAGAGGTACATTGCGATCAATATAATTTATTCCAAAATGTCTCAATCTACGATCTAGAGTTCCCAAACTCCACTTATAAATGCAATAATTCTTTTTCATAAAGTCGAGAATCTCCAACGGCTGCATGTTCGTTGCTACGTATTTCTTCAAATCCTCCTCCAGTTTACTCACTTTTCCAAGATCCTCTCTCGCCCGCCATGTTGTTTTTTTTTAGTGCGGTTATGCAATAAACAGTATCGCTGGCTCAGAAAATTAATTATTTGTAATCGCATCTAATTATTTTTTGGCAGTTGGCAGTTCTGGGCCACGTGGAAAACGTTTTGCTTTTATTTTAATAAGCTTCATGTTTTTACATTAAAATCAATTTTATAAAAGATTTAAATTTATTTGAGAAAAAAAGTAAAATTAATTTGGCAGCTCTGGGCCACCATAATGTTCCAAAAAAATACCACTGTTTGATTTAATATTATAACTAGAACAGCTATTCTGCCAAAATAATTTTTGTTGTATCCAGAAGGGAAAGGCTAACTTAAATTCTGATTTATTACAATAAGAATTCCATGCGATACTGTAACCAATGAATTCCATTGTCATCAGGCACGTTCGAACTTTTTTGTTTTTATTCCCAAGGTAAAGCATAGTTAATAGACCAACAAAATTGTAGACTTAATGGGAAATCATTTGCAAATGAAATACGCAATAATAGAGAGTTTACGCTTTGTGTTATACAGCAAACGCCAAGCAAAGAAAATTTTTACGGAATCAGGCAATAAAGAGTAAATGAAGTAGCTGTTTTAAAACTGAAATACATGACAATTCTTTCAACACAAGAAAGAAAACATGAAACGAAAACGTTTAACGAAAATTTTGCCGTTTTCCGTTCTCCCTATTCACAACTACGAGCGACTGACGTGAAATTAGTCTAACAGGCCATTTTATGCTTATTTTTAGAATGGTCAAAAATGCTTGTTCGATTTAAAACACATGCAGATATGTGAGTCTATACACATGAACATCTTATTGTAATATATGACAATTTAAGTTCCCTTGCAGATCCAGGCATGTTCTCCTGTTTAAAAGCACAGTTTAACCCATTAAGCGCCAGTGCTCCCCGCTTGACGAGTAAAATCATCTGGCGTTAGACAGAGTAAAATACTAAAGTAGGGTGCATCAGGGTGCAACGCCACTCAATGGGTTAATTAATGATAAAGTTTTACTAATTAAACTGTTTTATCTTATTTCTTTTAGAAACAAAATATGACTGATCTTCTAAGCAAGATTCAGCTTGCTTGCCCGCAATTTTATGTTTACGGTCATGGTGCAACTTGTCAGGTGCATAGTTTTGTTTTCACCATGAATTGCTTCGTGCTGATTAAACAATATATAAAAATGATATTATATAATTATTTAGATATTGTATTCGGTTAAATTTGGTGCTTTTACAAAATAGTTGAATTATATAAAATGAAATCGTGCATTTCTTACTATGACTTACATTATTTTTCATTATGTATTCAGTGTTATTTATCTAATTATTTCATTGAAGTTTTTGTCTTTTAGTTGTTGTACAGTCCAGGATGTCTTGAAGGGTGGGGAATGGTTGACGGAGAAGTCATGGAAAGACTTTGGTCTTATCTTAGGTTGTTTAGAAAGATGACAAAAGAAATGACTGCCAGCCACCGAGAAGACATATTGTCAGATGCTTTGTATTTTTATGCAAAGAAACACAGATCAAAAATAGGTAAAGCGTGGCTGGCATATCTGTGATACTTCTATGCACTTGTGTAAATATAGTATTTGAGTCTTAAGTTCCTATAGATTTTAGGCATTTATCTTTTCATTTTAGTACTGTTATTAAAAGCACAAAAGCAAAGGTGTGCAGAACTGCTTGAAATCACCAGTTCAGAAATTAACAAGTTGAGAGATAACTCGCCAGATATAATTACTCTACATTATACAGAAAATGCATATAACAGAACCCTGCACATGACAGAACCCTGCACATGACATTTGTGTATAGGTATTTTTACTCAGAGATTTTGCTTGTATCAGTTCCAATTACAGAGAGCATGATAGAGCAGTGGAGAGATCAGGAGAGCGAACTTCTAAGAAAATCAAAGCCGGATGAAGGTTGTTCTGGCATTTGTTTAATCTGACTCATTTTTATAACATTCAGGGTTATGCTGTATTAATAGCATACATATAAATGCGCAGCTTTATATTAAAGTTGATCATCACGATTGATTAATGGATATTTGTATTTCTTTTATTCAGTTGATCTTGGTGCAAATGGTTGGATACTGTTTTATGTTGTTGATCTTGGTGCAAACGGTTTTACGTCAGTATTACTCGGCAAAGTAATAATGGTCAGGGGCGGATTTTCTGGGGGGTATTTTCTGCACAGTATGCACTATGACGTACATACAACTTTTTCATCTTCTTAAGAGAATAAATTCGTGTGACAAACGTTGTAGGGACGTTGCATTAAATGTGTACATTAAGACGTTCAGATGACGTGGGTTCGACGTTATGTTTTAACTCTAATGCAACGTTTTATAGTGACGTATTGCATGGACATTTATACAATGTCTGTGCAACGTTATAGATTAACCTTCGTTCAACGTTATGCCATGGCTACCACTGACCTTCTAACAACGTCTGGCCAACGTTACGTTATTACTTTAAAGCAACGTTCCCTCTAACGAAATGAACATGGCGCAAAAACATTCAAACAACGTTTGCACAACGTTATATTTTACACAGTAGACAACGTTACAGTGTGACATTCCAATAACATCTGCGCGACGTTATATATCACATGTTGAAACAACGTTTTCCCCACCAACAAAGTGAACATGGCACAGAAACATTCCAACAACGTTTGCGCTACGTTATATTTTATAATTCAAGTAACGCACAGGCATGCACATGATCAGATATCGGACTGACTCAACTGCTATATTAAAATAAACGTTGTCATTAAATGTAGTTGAATAAGGCATAACATTTATAGCCACGGCGGTCAACATCAGAGATTTGACTGATTAATCAGACCAGTAATTATTACTCTACCATGATCGACAGACGTATGTGGATGTTGTTTAATACTAAGACACATATTTATATATTGAACTATATTTATTCTTCTTGAATGCCTATATAGCTGCCATGCCAATATAAGATTGTGCAACTATATAAACACGAGGTGATCAAAACATACGTTTTAACAACATCTGTTCGACGTTATTTCGAACATCAAAGCATAATCTCCAGGCAACGTTATATTTCAATGTTATAGTGACCTTACAGTGTAGTATATATAGCTAGAGTGACTGATTCGAACAAACTGAACACCAGTTTGCTTTTCCAAAGCAATTCTGGCTGGAGTTGCTCCAAAGAAAGGCTTTCTGACAGCGATTGGCATAATGCCTGAGCGTGGGTTATGCATCAATAACGATGAACCAATCAGATGAACCAATCAGCACGCTGATTGGTTGAGCTAATGCTGAAGCATATTATGTTTATTTTGTGGTCGTTTTGCCAATACTCTCCCTCGCCTGTTGCGGCTATTTCTTCTGGGTGCTTGGCTGTTCTCTATATTACTTGTGATATCGACGCGTTCAATGTAAGTATAAATACTGTGTGTATATGCTTCTTTAAATTGTGTAATCAGGGCTATATAACAACGTATATTCATAGTAATATTTTGCATTATTTTGCAGCATCTCTGGAATATACTCTCTGTTGCCTTGCGATATTTGAAGCTACAAAATACCCACTACAGATCAATACAGAGACTTTGATGTAAGTATATATTAAATAAATTTGTTATTTATAATGCTATTGATCTTATACTATGATATTACTTCTATGATATCACATATGTGCATGAAGTCTACCTGAGTCATGGTCGTTTACCTGAGTCATCGAAGGAAATTATGTCTGCTACAAACAATTTCTTTAATTTTGTCGGTTTGCGCTAAATTCGTAACCACCTAGTTTGGCTTGTTAAAGGCGAAATATGAACTAGGAGTTGCTTTTACAGGTTATTACAATTAATATATACTATATATAGTATAAGAAGTATTAGCATATTTGCCGGGAAGAAGTCCTTAGGTGATTTCCTGAAAGGCCAAAGGTTGTTGTTTTGATAATTTCAAAGATGGCCGCCTCAAGTCTTTCGCATATAAAAATATTCTGAAAATATGGATCACTCTTAATTACAGCTTGTATATTCTTTAAGTCAGACCAGAAACATTTGTTTGAAATATTAGTAATAGCACAATCTCACATTAAAACAAATGCTTGTATAACTGGGCAGTTAGAATGACCTGACTGTGTGTGGCAGGGCAAAAATATACATGTTTGGCACACTGGAAGTGCCCACATTGCCCCAAACCGAAAAGTAAGGTTTAAAACAGAAGTAATAAGTACTCAAAAACAGAGAAATATAGCAAACAAACACAGATGGTCAGCATCAAGGCAGGATTAAAATGGATTGTTATAAAAATACCAATTATTTAGTAATATCACATTTTGCACCACAGTCTTCAACAATTGCCATTAAAACAATGCTTTGATTTATTTTTTTGATGATTTTCATTAATCCACTACCTTCAAATAAAACTTGATTGACAGCCAAATGTTTCAAAACTACAAGAGACTGTATAAATTGTCAATTTTAATTGCCTGTGCATGAAATATATTGTGTGTTAACATACTACATATGCATAGGTGTATGGTCAGGGAAGCAGCTATACCTGGTGGGCTGCCGCTACCAATGGAGTTGACTGACCGGGCTATTGTATATATTTTAGGCATATCGCTATAACCCCAGTTTTTTTACCCCTGCCAATGTGATCAACTGATCGAGTATTTAAGTTCCTGAGCTGGGATGGACATAAAATGCTCAAATGCCCTACTAGTACTTTAGTAACTTGCTAAATTAATGCCCACAGTATATTGGCAAAGCCTCATTATTCTTAAAGATGCGGTAAAGTCCGTTCTGCGCATATATTCTGCACATCAAAACATTCCATCAGTGGGGGAGCAACCTTTGGAATGTTGTCAATATTTCGCACCTTCCAAACTTTCTTTAATTGAATCTCTAGTCTGTATTCATTTACAACAAGCATAACGAACCAGAAAAGTGTTAAAAATTCAGTATAATATATATCTAATCATATTTTACAACTGTACCACTGAGTTCAAAATGTAAACAAAGCGTTTGTTTACATTACAAACTTTACATCACCTTTAATTAATTGTGTTAGCGTTTTCTTGTTAAAAAGATTTATTTATTAGAAGCTTTCGACTGCCAGTCTGCAGTCTTTGACGGGTAGATTAATAATGTGCTAGTGATATAAGATATGATACAAAGTGAATAGTGCTATACAATAGCGGTTTACAATTACATTTATAATAATATAATAATAATAATAATAATAATAATATAATTTAATTTGCCACCATTACAACATTTTGTAAAGAAAAAATAAATTATTTACAATAATTAATGATAATAGTGGCAAGGAAGCTTAAAAAAGAAACCATAAGGCTTATGTAAATTTAAGCTTCCTCATTTATCGGGGGTATATATAAATATCAAATAACATTTCAAGATTTGATAAATTATGGACAATATGAGTGTAGGTATTAATGGATAATAATTAAATACAAATTCACACCAATTATAAATAGGTACACACTTGATTCTATTGGCGCACAGTAACAAAGAATATTCATTCATTTCGTTATAGATTTATAAGAAATAAAAAAATCATTTTAATGTATAAGGTAATTATTTATTTTATAATAAATAATTTTTTAATTTTCTTTTAAAAGAAACAAAAGAAGTAATATTAATAATATCAATAGGTAGTGAGTTAAAAAACTTTGGACCCTGGAATCTTACAGAAAATTGTCGGATATTTGTACGACACAATGGAGTTCTAATGGCCATCGCACTCCTTGTATTATATGAGTGGACTTGATAATTTGATACAAACATATCATTAAATTTACTTGGTAAAAGACCACTGCGATAAGAGTACATAAATTTACCCAGTTGAAATAGAAGAATATCATTAACTTTAAGGATAGAACAGTTCTTAAATAAAGGTTCTGTATGTGCATCAAATTTACATTTATTTAGAATTCTAATTGCTCGCTTTTGCAGTATATTGATACGATGAAGATTATTTTGATACGTTGAAGCCCAAACAATATTACAATATTGGATATACGGGTAAACAATTGAATAGTACAAAGTGAGTAAGGATTTCTTAAGTAGATAAAAACTGGCTCTTAACATTATTCCTATGGATTTAGACATTTTACGTGCTACATACGAAATGTGTGATTTCCAAGATAATTCCTCATCCAATACTACCCCTAAAAAGACAGTTTCTTTCACTTGCTCAATATATTCATTATTAATGATTAATTGAAAAGTATAATTATATTTCTTTTGTCTTGGTTTAAATACAATAAATTTTGTTTTTTCTAAGTTTAATGAAAGCTTATTTGATTTAAACCAGTCTGACAATTTTCTAATTTCAATATTCAAAATATTAGTTAATTCTATTGGGTCTTTATTCGAAATAAATAAGTTTGTATCATCCGCAAATAAGATAAGCTCCAATATACTTGACACATGGATTATATCATTGATATATATTAAAAAGAGCAGCGGACCAAGGATAGAACCTTGTGGGACCCCACATTGTATTTTATTAGGACAGGAACAGTAATCATTAAATTGAACGAATTGTGTTCTATTTGAGAAATAACTCTTCATCCAGTCCAAAGCTAATCCACAAATTCCGTAATGGTCAAGCTTATCAAAAAGAATATTGTGGTCTAAAGTGTCAAAGGCTTTAGATAAGTCTAAAATTACACCAACTGCAAACTCTTTTTGATCAATTGCTATTTTATCATAAAGATCCACCAGGGCTAAAGAAGTGGAATGGTTTTTTCTAAAACCATATTGGTTTTCAGACAAGATACTATTTTTATTTAGGTAATTTAACATCCGGTTATATATAACTCTTTCCAGAAATTTCGAGAAACAAGGAAGAATAGAAATTGGTCTATAATTTGTAAATAGTGTTCTATCACCTGATTTAAACAGGGGAATAACACGAGCAATCTTCATTTCATTTGGCACAATACCATGAGTAATAGATAAGTTGATAATATGAGTTAGAGGTTTAGCAATTATGTTTATAGTTTGCTTTATTATTAACATGGGAACTTTGTCATATCCATATGTTTTGTTTGATTGAAAACTTTTAGAAATCTCAATAATTTCATTTTCTGTTGCCGGGTTAAAAAATATGGAATTAGGATATTGGCCTACAAGAGAATTTAGATGAGAGTTTGGAGTAGATTGTATTCTTTTAGCAAGATTTGGACCTATGTTTGAGAAATAGTTACAAAATCTATTAGCAATTTCTATGGGATCAGAAATTTCAAAATTATCTACTTTAAATGATGATGGGAATTTCAGTTTTGACCGCTTCTTATTTATGACTTCATTAAGTGTCTTCCAAGTAGATTTAATGTTTGATTTCTCATTTTCTAACCTCTTTGTGTAATATAATGATTTAGCAACTCTCAAAGAGTGGGTCAATTTGTTTTTATACTTTTTATAAGATATCTCATTAGCAAGAGTTGGGTCACTTATATATTGTTTATATAGTTTATTTTTCCTTTTTATGGATCTTAGCAAACCTTTTGATAACCAAGGCTTGTCAATCTTGTGATGTTTTATCTTTATTCTTCTTAAAGGAAAACAGTTGTTATAAATTTCTGTATACTTAGCTAAAAAAGTATTGTAAGAATTGTAAGGGTCATCATAGTATTTAAGTTGGGACCAGTTAATACTACCCAATTGCTCAATGAATTTATTTATATTAGTTTTGTTTTTATCTCTGAAAGTAATTTTTCATTAGTATTATCACAATAATTCATGTCTTCACAGCTAATTGAAAACACACGCAAGTGATCAGAAATATCTGTAAATAACAGGCCACTTGTAGATATGGAAGAGAAGTTGTTCGTAAATATGTTATCGATTAATGTTGAAGTATGAGCTGTTATTCTTGTTGGACAAGTTATAAGTGGAATAAACATATTTGAATACATTCCATCTAAAATTCACAAGTCAAGGAATGACTGTCATAGTTCAATAAATTTAGGTTAAAATCACCCATTATATAACAGGTTTTATTTTCATTAGAAATTTTTCCTATTATATCATACTTGCTTAGAAAAGAATTGGCATTTTGATTTGGTGGTCGATAAATTATTCCAATAATGATATTTTTACCATGGGGTATGCAAACTTCAATAAATAAGGATTCCGCAACATCATCATCATCAAAAATTAAATCAGTACGTATTTTAGAGGTAAAGCAATCCGACAAGTACAAACCAACAAACCAACACCTCCACCAATTTTATTAACCCTGTGTTTATGAAAAAAATTATATCCCTCAATATCAACAGAGTGTTCTGAGTTTTTTAGCCAAGTTTCAGTTATCCCAATTACTGAAAATTCAATATTCAGAGTACTTAATAAGTTTGTTAAATTTGATAAATTACTTTCAAGACTGCGGATGTTTAGATGAAATAATGAAAAACTGGAAGCACAGGAAATCTGTGAATTTAACATTTTGTTAAACTGATCTTCAACAAAATAATCGCAGTGGTTAACGAAATTATCATAAAAATGTGAGTCTGGGTCCAGATCATTAGACAGAAAGGGGCGATGGCCTGCACCCGAAATCAATGGATTATAATTTAAACTGATTAATCTCTCTTGACTGAAATTAATAGGGCCGTTTTTTAACTCAAACATTTCTAAGAAAAATTCAAAGTCGTCAAGACCATGAAAAGGCAAAGCATTCATTGACATTGAAGACTGCATGATAAATAAAATTAATATACATTAATTATTTAGAATTACTTAGCTTCATAGAGAGCTAGGGTGTAAAATTTGCACTGAACAACTCAAACTCCTTCACTGATTTGAATGATACAGCAGCATCAGTATCAATTTTCTTCACATAGGACTTGCCATATTTGGTCCAAGCATACTTGAAATTATATTTTCTCCGGAATTCCCTCACTTTATAAAACAGCTCCTTGGCTTTAGGTGTCAAGCTTTCGTTAATATATAATTTATTCACTGATTGCGAAAAACCAACAAAATTTGATGAGTTGAGACCTCTCAGACGACCTTTATTATGGTATACAGCATCTCTGATGTTTCGACTGATAAATTTAGCAATTATTGGAGGCGTAGTACCTTCTCTAGATGGTAAACGATGACTCACTGAGACATCTGAAGGTTGAATGTCGACTGCAATTAACTTACACATTTCAGTAACCAACTCATCAGTATTCTCACTTGGCATTTCGGGTACGCCATGGAATTCCAGGTAATCCCTTCGAGAATATAATTTAAGATCTTCTTGCGCTTCCTCTAACTCAAGTATTTTCGAACTCATTTGATTCATCTCGTACTTTAATTTTTCATTTTCGACTTTCAACTGATTGTTTTCCTCTTTTTATGAGTTTACTGCAGCTAATAGTTCATCGAATTTAGCACCAATAAAATTTTGGCTATTTTGAATGACTAGCATTTCTTCTTGAGACTTTTTATGTTGCTTGCAGACAACATCATTAAGATCCTTTATCTGACCTTTACCTGATCATTAAGATCCATTTACTGACACAAAAGACAATTGCTGACAGTTCTGCCCATGTAGAAGATTGTGACTAATTATTAAAAAGTTTTCTTACTTATTAAAAAATATTATTTAAAATTTATAGTTTTTCATTATTCTGATACATATACATATCATCATATCATTGATAACTGGCTCCAAATGATTTTTCGAGTTAGCAAAGCAGCAAGCAAGTAACTTCAGGCTTACATACTTAGTGGCTAGGTTGGCTGGCCACACTACACAGACTTTTTGGAGATAGCCAGTAATAACTCTACAATGCTTCTTTTAACTTAGTTTTAAATTACACATATTACTCAAGTATATTGAGTAACTTGTGTAGCACAAATTGCTTTAGACTTTTAATTTCTGCAGCAACACATATTTCCCCCTGAAATTCTACTCATCCACTGAAATTCTACTTGTGATGTAATATATAGGTGTATTGATCTTTCTACGCCAAAAAATTAATTATACTTGACCATAGCAGGGAATCCTCGACTTTCACATTTCTAGAATGACACTATACCCATCTGAGCTACAAGGCCAAGATGGGAACAATGTTACTGTACTTGGCTCAATCCTAATTTGCATACACTAATAACATACATAAACTTGCTAATATTCCTCCCTCAATAAGTATTCAATTTTTCAATTGAAAAACTTTCCTTTCTGTAGGTTTATTAACATCCATAACATCAATTATCTCTGCCTTAAAATCATTAAGACCCGAATGACCCTCCTCAAAAAAATGTTCGTACAAATGTTGACCACATATCCCTTTGGTCCTTAGAAAATGAGGTGATATCAGTTTTATTTTGAGATTGGAGAAAACCTACAAGTTCATGCATATAAATTAAAACAAAGCAACTATATAATGCTTTTCTACAACTGACAGTTATTTAAATATAGATGCGCGGCCAGGATAAGACATATTAAATTCAAATGTTCTCTGACCAAATATTTTATTTGACGAGCTATCGGCTATCAGATTTATAGTCTTCAATGGGTAACTAACTAAGCTGTTGAATTTAATATGACAGTTATTTGTTCTATAGCTGTGGTAATGAAAGCAACTAAGCGAGCACAGTACAAATGAACCTGGGCTGCAGCAGCTCTAACTTTGAGACGTGCTCAGTGTGATGCCACACCTTCTGAAGATGAAAGTACAGAGTTACTTGAACTCTCTTTTAATTCATCGTCAGCAAACAGTAGCACTGAGTCTGAACAAGATGTCCTGGAGCCTTCCCCCAAACGTGGACAGACCTGCGCAGAAGCAAACTGTTCAAGTACTCAAAGTGTAAATGATGGTTTTCTTGCCGAAGGCTTAGGAAACTGGGCTAACAAGTTTCTCATCAAACACAATGCGCTTGATGGACTTCTTGTTCTTCTCAAGGAGAATGGCCATCCAAATTTGCCTGTTACTCCCCGTACATTGTTGTAAACAGAAAGGAATATTACTATTCAAAAAAAGTCTGGGATGGAGTATATTTATTTCCGTCTAGCTAGTCAGTTGTTGAAGCACTTTAAAAAGTACCCCCCAGATACAGTTAGGGGGACAAACTCTCTAGAAATTTCATTGAATGTCAATGGTCTTCCATTATTCAAGAGTTCAGGCATGTCTTTGTGGCCAGTGTTATGTGCCATTGTTAGCATGAAGCCTGTAATAGTTTTTCCTGTTGTGCTAACTTGTGGTAAATCAAAACCTAAAGATTTAGAATTCTTGGAAGATGTTATTAGAGATTTGGACGATGTTCTGGAAAATGGACAACAGGATGGTGGTCGGTTAGTTGAAGTTACTTTGAGGTGCGTTGTTTGTGATGCTCCCGCAAGAGCTCTTGTAAAAGGCACTAAGTTATGCTCCGGTTATTTTGGATGTGACAAATGTGCACAAAAGGGCTTGTGGGTTGGAAGAGTGATATATCCTTTGGCGAAAGATATTGAATTGCGCACAGATACCTCCTTCAGAGAACAAACTGATGAAGGACATCATCATGGTACAAGTCCATTCTGTAATCTTCAAGTTGACATGATTAAAAAATTTCCAGTTGACTATATGCATCAACTGTGTTTAGGAGTCACTAGGAAATTGATTTTGACATGGATGAGAGGAAAACGTCAAGTGAAAATATCGGCTGGTCAAGTGGAAACAATTAGTACTAAATTACTAGACCTCAAATCTTGCATACCTAGCACATTTGCACGGAAGCCAAGGAGTTTGGTTGATGTTGACCGGTGGAAAGCCACTGAATTTAGACAGTTCCTTTTATATACGGGTAAGAACGTTTAAACAGTATCCTAAGAGAAGAACAATTTGAGCACTTCTTGTGTCTTAGTGTTGCCAGTTGTATTTTGGTGTGTCCAATGTTAAGTCAGTCTCATTGAGACTATGCCAAACAGCTCATGGAATACTTTGTCGAGCAGGTGAGAATTTTATATGGTGATGAATTTTTGGTCTATAATGTGCATAGCATGGTTCATTTGGCTGATGAAGTGAAAGAATTTGGCAGCTTGGATGCATGTAGTTCCTTCCCATTTGAGAACCACATGCAAAAGTTAAAAAGACTTGTACGGTCCGGAAAGAACCCTATTGCACAGGTTGCCAAACGAATGAGTATTCTGGTGCTATTGAACCCACACATGAAGCGAAAATCAGTATAAAGAAACCAGACAATGCTTTTCTTTTTCACGGTTCTGGTTCATCTTGTTGTGAAGTGGTTGACAACGTTGGTAATCTTGATGAGAATGGAAATGAATTATATCGCTGTCGAGTTTATGAGAAAACCGATACTCTTTTTACGACTCCATGTGATTCTCGGCTAATTGATGTTTATAAGGCTACTGTTCGCTGGACAACAATGAAAAACCTTCCTTTCCACCTTCTCAAGTGAAAGGCAATAAAGATTGACCTTGGTCATGAGAAAATCGTGTTCATGGCTGTATTGCACACCAACAGTTAGTGGTTATTAAGGTACTAAATAATGCTGATGATTTCCTTAAATATGGCTAGGAATATTTCAAACTTTGTTTAGAAGTCCAATATTGGTTGCTACCATACGTTTATAGCAAGATTCAAAAAAGTTTTATTATCTGAGCATTTTCTTAACAGCTAAAAAAGGCCATACACCAACTTTGTTTACAAATTATTTGCTCTGAACTCAATTATAACTTTGCAACAAATTTGCTAATTTCTCAACACTTGATTAACCCATTTATTATATTCATTTTGAAATCAGTGGTGTTCCCTGCAATCGGATTGGTTCACAGGGGTGCAATTTCAGCACAAATTGCACTCCTAGCAGTGTGATTTGTACTGAAATCGTGCACCTTCTTTCAACCAATCACACTAGAGTGCTTACTTCAGCCAACCAATCATATTTAATCCATTAAGCTGCAGAGTTTCTCATTTCCAGTGGATCAGTAAAATCATCTGGCGTTAGGGTGCCCCTGGGGCGGATTACAGCTCAAAGGCTTAATCATATGATTGAAACAGCCAATCAATTTTAAGAAAAATCTGATATTTCAAATCAGCAAAAACAAAAATATTACATGTCATGATTACTCTTGACTGGCTCAGCAATTTTTTGCACATAAAAAATATGGATAGCTACAGTTAACTATCAAAGAATTGCAAAGAATTTTTGACTTTTTTTAAATTTCACAAATAGTAACAGGCAAGTTAAGAACAAAATTTTCTATCAAACATGGTCACAATTCCAACACCAGCAGATTTTAATATAAAGGCATTAGGCAAAACAAGGTTTCAAACTCGCCTATCGTATTTCCAATTTTAAACACACAAACTGCACCAAAGCTCTATCAAATCACTTGTAAAACCTACAAATTAATATCTTTAAACTTACTTGTGTTGTCTCTTATCCTTCATGAATGTCTTCATTTCTTAACATTTCTTACAGTATTTTAAACAAAAGTACAAAGCTAAAGGTTCGCCTTCGCCTTGTTCGCTTATTGTTGCTATGCTACAGCATTCAAGGAGGTACCGGAGGTGTGTCTTTTGCAAACAGAAACATTTCTGCTTTCCAGTTTACAAAAATATTTAATTAAATTAAAGACCATGTAAAGTCTGTTCTGCGCACATATTCTGCGCAGGCCTACATTCCAATGGTCAGGAACTTGTTGGGACCCGACCATTGGAATGTTATTAATATTTCGCACCTTTCGAACTTTCTTGAATGCAAACTCTAATCTGTGTTAATTTACAAGCATAGCGGAACCAGAAGAGTGTTAAAAAATCAGTATAATATATATGTAATTATATTTTACAACTATAGCACTGAGTTCAATTTTTTTTTACATTACAGACTTTGCATGGCCTTTAAGATTTGAAAATGAATATAATACAGCACAAGCGGCCCAATCTTGCAAGGGTCAGATACAGTGGCGTAGCAGATTCGATAATTGGGGGAGGACAATCATATATTTGTGTTCTGCATTATTGATTTCTTTTCATATCAATTGTTTACAAGGTCTGTGAACACAAATATATGAATATTGCCCCCCTCCCAAATTATCGAGTTTGCTATGCCACTGTCAGTATAGACTTATAGTAATGTATATTATAGTAAAAATATGTCGTAAAATATAAATTTCGAAATGAACTTGCCTATTTGGTTGTGTGTTCTCCTTTTATTCCTCTTTTGTTGGACTAATATTTTCCGAGACTTTACACTTGGTGGTACTAGTATACACAATACTACACTGAGTGCAAGGTCTTGAAAAATATTAGTCCAACAAAAGAGGAATAAGAAGAGAACACACACTATCAAATTAAATAAGCAAGTCAAGTTCATTTTAAAGTTTATATTTTATGACATATTTTTACTATAATATACATTACTATATTAAAGTCTATACTGACTATTATGTTTTTACAAACAGTGGATTCTTTGAAAAAAGCACTCAGATACTCAAAAAGAGCGGAGGAGACATCTAATTTAGAGTCAGATGAAAATAGTTGAGAGAGAAAAAGGCCACATGAGAAACCCGCACGTTATGAGGAATCTTCTAGTAGTAATGAGAGTAAGTTGATCACTTATATTGTATTATATATTAGCAGCGTGCTGTGTACTACAGTATAACTATAACATCCATTCAATGATTTTAGTGCGAGAATTGATCAGTCGAGAGGCATATGAAACAACAAGTCAATACGATTCAGTAAAAATTGTCAGTCAAAATAGTTTACTTTCACAAATGACACATTTTCTTGTTCAATTAGAATGATTTTTACCTTTCAGGAATACTTGTAGTGGTTTGGGAGAACTCTCTAGATAGACTTTTTCCCAGATGTATTTTCCTACATGCATTTTTCTATAACATCGGTACACTCAGTATATAATTTGAGACTCAGTATATAATTTGAGCTTGCTTGTTTCAGGCCTGTTTAAAATTTTATCTCGGAAAATGGTAATTTAATTATTAAACTCAAAATTCCTTTACTGAGTGCTTTACTCGAATTTTTTGTCTTATTAAGACGATGAAAGTGATACCCCAAGTCCAACATCAAAGAAGCAAAGATCTGAAATGTCTCCTCAGTATCCCCCTGCTCCAAGCCAGCTTGCACCAATGATGCCAGTACCACCAATATATTTGTCAAATATGAATAGTCAGCAATCATCATCATGTTCACAAAGTATTACTTCTGGCCAAAATTACTCGCATGGATTTCATGTAACTGAGGACGCTTTTCCTGAGCGTAATTTAATTTCTGGAGTTAACCAGATTTTAAGAAATTCAATTCCCAATGGTAAACACTGAAATATTGATTATATATTGTACTTGGAAACATATGTAACAGCCAATTCAAGAAAAGTTGTCCTTTGCAAATCTATATAGTAATTTATGGCTTTGTCAGCACATATTGTATGTATCATTCCTAATCTTTGTTTTTTAATGTGTTATTAAGACATATTTGAAGATCTACCATTAAGCACACCAAACTTAAATCCAGACTTACTTGGAACTGGTAAGTGAAACGTTTTGATATATTTAATAACTGGTATCATTAATATTTGCCTGTTCAGTTGCTTTTATTTAAAGATGAGTTCGTTTTAATTACAGTATGCATGTGTTACAATGATTATGGATAATATGTCGCCTTAATTGAATTTTAATTGCCCATTTTGATTTCAATTTATTTCCAGGTTCATGTCCAACTTTCATTGGTAATGAAACACCAAGATCGAGCAACCGGAGACAGGAGCAATCGGACGGTAAGTGTTCAGAACATTATGGTTATTGTGTATAACCACCTCGTACTAACATCTGCCCATTTACAATAGATACTAACGTTCATCGGCAATATAATATTTGATACGTTTAACTCAACTCCTTTTTCTCCCATCTCAATTCAGCGATACGCAATAAATTTCTTCGACAATAATTCAATATTAAATCTTTATACGAATAGTATAGCAATAGGAATAGGTTTTTTATAATAAATACAGATATAAACAAGAAATTACTTATATATCTTATACATAACATAATATTAAAGTAATAAAGAAAGTCCTTACCGACTGTATCAAACTAATTCACATCTTTAACATCAATCTTTCGCTCGCAATAAGTCACAGTTCAAATTCGTCTTCGCTCGCAGTCAAGAGCAAAATATCAATTCCAAAACACCCCCCCCCCCAATCTTGTTTATAGTTTTTCTTAATTATGTAATATTGTTAATATCTAATGGTAGCTAGGCCGGCCCCTAAATGAATGTTAAGATTCATTTACTACACAACTTATATAGCTACCGTTATGATAATAGTTTACTTCCCTGCTAGTTCAAATGTTGTCCATCTCCAGATGACACAGCTTCGTGATCAGGCATTCCAAGATAGCAGTTGTTGTCTTCACTTCTCCTCGACGCTTCCGTTTCGCACGGGTCACTACTGTCGAACACATCTTTATCTTGGCACTACTAACCATTCCATCATTTCCTTTCATCACTTCTACCACTCGAGCTAACAGCCATTGCCCTCTCTGATAATTCTCATCAGCCAAAAGTACGACGTCATTGATCTTTAAATTATCCCGAAGTTCGTTCCATTTTTGTCACCTTTGTAACGACGGATGGTACTCCTTGATCCATCTTTTCCAAAACATATTGGTTAGAAATTGTGCTTGTCTCCACTGACGCCGCATATTCCTGTCATCGTTCCCAAACACGCCGGGTGGTAAAGAAGGACAAGGTCATAGATGTAGAAGGTGATTTGGTGTCAGGGGGTCCGAATCTCTTGGGTCGTCACTGTTTCTTGTAAGTGGTCTACCGTTGAGTATATTCGCAACTTCGGCAATGATTGTGGAACGCACCTCGTCACAAACAATTTGCTCCTTCAAAAACGCTCTTAACATCTGATGCATGGACCTGATCATCCTTTCCCAGGCTCCTCCGATGTGGCTTGTTCCTGGGGGATTAAATACCCAATTAATTCCTCTTTGTGTACACAAATTCTCGATATCTGAGTGGTTCCATTTGTCTATGCTGGCTTTTAATTCTTTGTCAGCTTTCTTAAAGTTGGTACCATTATCACTACGGATCTCTCGTGGACATCCCCTTAAACTCACAAATCTTCTCAACGTGTTAAGCATCGAGTCCGTGTTGAGAGAATGTGCAATCTCGATATGCAGCGCACAAGTGTTCAAGCACGAAAATATGCAACCATAACGTTTACCATGACATCTATCCTGTTTCACCTCAATTGGACCGAAATAATCGACACCAACTGACATAAATGGTGGTTCATAAGCTGTTACTGTATCACGTGGCAAGTCTGTCATAAACTGCTCACATGTCGGCTTCTTCCTCTTTTGGCAATCCACACAAGAACGTATAACACGTCTCGTAGCTGCTCTCCCCTTCAAGATCCAAAATTTCTCTCTAAGACATGCTAGAACAGATTCTTGTCCCATGTGTCCAACTACTGTGTGATAATGTCTTATTATCAGGTCAGTTACATGATGCTTGGTTGGTAGAACCATTGGGTGCTTTGCTTCTTCACTGATGTTTGCGAACTCAAGCCGTCCTCCTACAACTATCAATCCGTCTTGTAACGTTGGGTTGAGCTGGTATAGAGAGCTCCCAATGTTTTGCAGATTTCGCTTGATATGTCTGTTACCCGCTTTGGATAATACTCCTTCTTGCAGCACAGTGATAATCTCAGGAAATGACGTGTGTTGTACGTAACGAACAACATTTCGCTCAGCTGTCTTCAGCTCATCAACTTTCAAATTCCCAACTTTCAATTCTGTCTTTCCTGCCACTCGAAACTCACTGTTTTTATTGGAAACCTTCATCCTCAAATAATCTTTAAATCTCGATAGACATGCGAATCCTCTCACCAATCCCCACCAAGTCGAGTATCTTTGAACTAAACAGTTGCACCTTGTCTCACTTCAGGATCGTTGTCGCTTAAATTTGGTACTTCAACATTAGTGGGCCATTCACTTTCGCTCTTCCATAGAAACGTCGGACCCTTTAACCACCTTTCCTTTTGCAGCAACGCATCCAACTTCAGCCCTCTAGAAGCATCATCCGCGGGATTCTTTTCACTTTTAACATATTTCCACTGTGAGACGTTTGATCCGTTATGAATGATGGTAAGGCGATTGGACTCGAATGTATGGAAGCATTTCGTTTCTTATGCACTTCAGCACTGACATAGAGTCAGACCAAAACATCACACGATCAAGTCTCATGTCCAACTCTCTTTGTATTGTTTCTCGAAGCTGAACGGACACAACAGCCGCAGATAATTCTAAACGAGGAATTGTAATTTTGCGAAAGGGTGCTACTCAAGCTCTTCCAAGAACAAAGGAACAATGAATGCGATCTCTATTGTCAACAAGCCTAAGATAAGCCACTGCTCCATACCCATCTCGGGATCCGTCGGAAAAGAGATGCAGTTCCACAGTCTGGATTTCACCGAAGCCATCAGGCTTGAAACACTGTTCTATTTTCACCTCCTTTAATTTCGATAAGTCGTTTAACCAATGTAACCACTGTTTCTTTTCAGATTCATTAATTTCTTCATCCCATTCTAGTTTTCTGCGACATAGTTCTTTGAGTAAAAGCTTTGCTTTCATAACAAACGGTGCTATCATACCAAGTGGATCGAAAAGAGATGAAACTACAGCTAAGACCCCGCGTCTAGTCAACACCTTTCGTTGTGCCCGAACTAAAGCTTTGCTGTCAAGCTCCCAAATGAACGCATCTTCTTCGACATTCCATTTCAGCCCAAGAGCCGACTCTGTTGGTAAATCCTCTATGTCCAAGTTAACTACAGACTTCGCTCACTCGTACTCTGGTATTGTCGCTAAGACTTCGTGATTATTACTTAGACACTTGGTTAATCTAAAGCCTCCCTTCTGCAACAGCTCTCGTAGTTGCTTAGCGAGAACAATTGCTCTTTCTGCACCGTTCACAGATTTCATTAAGTCATCGACATGCATGTTTCTATCGATCATCTGCGACACTTCTTTGTTAAACTCTCCTCCATAGATCGAAGCTGTTTTCTTCAAACAGAAATTCGCACAGCTGGGCGACGATGTTGCCCCAAAGGCATGCTTCACTATACAATACTCGGTCGGCTCTTCATTCAAATCGCTGTTTTCCCACCAAAGGAATCGGAATACATTGCAATCGTCAGCATCCACAAACACCTGGTAAAACATGGACTCAATGTCTGTGACTAGAGCAGTGGAACCTTCTCGGAAACGTATCAGGACGCCGACCAGATTATTTGTTAAGTCAGGACCTTGTAATAACTGCATATTCAGGGATGGTCTTTATACTTTGCAGCACAATCAAATACAACCCTTACTTTCTCTGGTTTCAGGCGATGCGTGACTGGTTGGTGAGGTAAGTACCATACTTTGCCATTGTTTACTTCCAGCTCTTCTGGTACCATTTTGGTGTGCCCCGTATCAATATAATCTTGCATAGCGTCCCTACACTCGACGAATAACTGACTATTCTTCTGCAATCGATGTTTTAACGAATGAAGACGTTTCTCAGCCATTGGTCTATTATTTGGGATTACCACGGGTTTTTGACCATCCTTCCTTTTCAACGTTTGCTCCATTATTTCTACGGCTCTCTTATCTTCAACCGATAGATTTGAATCGTTACTTCGTACTGTAGACATGTTGAAGTCCATGTTCCAAAGACGCTCTAGCTGGCGCCTTAGCAGATCATCTTCATTTGTTACTCTTTGATCAACAAACATGCAGTTTTCTAGCCCAATTTCATTATATACGTCTTCTCCTTTATCTATATCTTTAATGGTGACATTGCCCGAAAGATTTTCCTTGGTGCCAAAATCATTGTTCATTCCGAGACTACTATTGACATTCTTCGTTCTTGCAAAATTCACAAGACAATCGCGTGTTTCTTTAGCTCCACCAACAGGACCCATCACTGTCCATCCCAAGCTATATCGGAATGGCAATTGGTTCTTCGTCACCGCCTTCTTGAACTTCCAAAGGTAGGAATAAACGTGGTCTCTCTTTTAAACCAATCAACAGCAATACTTCCCTGTCAACTAACTCAGGGATTTCAATATCCTTTAGATGAGGCCATCTTTCCAAATCAATCTTCTTCGTTATGCAGCCCTTTGACACTGGCATTTGTTTCACCGTTTTCACTTTCGATAACTCAACAGCAGTACTACCATCAAGCGACTCGACAACAATATTTATGCTTTGGCCTTCCACCTCAGTTGTTCCATTTATTCCAGTTAAGCTAAATTTGAATTTGTCACCGTCCAGGCCTAGGGTTTCCATTAGTCGCTCATGACACAAAGTCACCTCTGATCCGTTGTGTAACAACACGTACGTTTCCACCTCATGAGTACTTTTGTGACCCCGAACACGCACTGGAATGACACCGAGGCATACTCTCTTCCCTCCAGCCCTTGTTGCTGCAACTGAGTCATTAGGTTCTCTGTTTACTTGTTGCATACAGTCTCCGGCCCCATCTTCGTTCTTAGTTCCTGATTTCACCTCCTTCTGTTTCATTTTATCTCGCTCTGTGACTGCACCCTTCATATGATGCAACAGTGTGTGATGCTTAGCACCACATTCAGCAATTCTGCACTTAAAATTGGTCTTGGGACAGTTCTTGGCTATATGTCCCCTAACTAAACATTTATTGCACAGTCCCCTTTGCAGAACTATTTTTTGCCTTTCATTCAGTTCCATTTTCTTGAACATATCACATCTCCATACACGATGCGGCCCAGAACAAGCGTCGCAACTCAATGGTTGTCTACCTCTATTCACTTGGTCACCATTCGATCCTGCTGCAAATGACGATATTCCATTATTTTTATTGTTTTCTTCTCTTCGTTTGCAGGTCCCCTTGCTTCTATTAGCTTTTGGTCTCAGTGCAGTATCAACAGCTGTAATTTTCTTTAGTCATCTGGATCATCTCTTTCTAAACAATTTTTGAAATTGTGCATGAATGCTCCAAACTTAACGGATCACCATTAAAATGCAGATATTCAATCTTGGGCATATTCACAACTTGACGGACAGCTTGTGCAATTTCATCCATAGGAGATATTCGGTTATTTCCAGTATGATCACCGACTGGTTGATAACTTTCAGTGGGTAGTGTGTATCCTTGTTGATGGGTAGGGGTGTTTGAGTCGTTCAAATTAATTTGATGCGGGTAATGTGAGCCCGTGGTCGCCGCCAAGGGTGGTTGATAGGGGTGAGGCAAGCCTCCATTCGTTGTTGGTTGGCTCACACACTGTAATAAAGTGTCAGGATTCTCCCTATTCCCGCTTCCATTTGTAACTGGTGCCCGTTGCTGCTAAACTTGGTAATAGTTCCTGGGATCTCGCAGCTGGTAAGCCAAACGGTAAAGTTCCTGTTTCTCTAAGTCCAGAAGCAGAACTGTGGTCCAAGATTGGCAGCCCTTGATATTGTTGTAAGGACGGTTGCGATTGTCCTTCTTGAACTAGGAGTTTTCTACTGTTCGATTCATGTATTTCGCTCGCATTTCTAAATCCCTTGTGCTGGAATCCCCTATCGGTTAGAACTTCACATGATTGTCTTTCGCTTTTGTAACTTTGTTTACTCTCTTTCTCCTTCATTAAAACTAGCTCAATGGGCTCATTAGTGTCCTGTACATCATACATATTTTCCTAGCTCCTTACTCTCTGAGATACTACCCTCGTTTTCCTGGAATATTTCATAGGAGACCACCGCCATATTAGCTTCCATTTCTGCTTCTGCTAATTCCCTTTGCCTTCTAACTTCCTGTTCCTGGATCTCAAATTGTTGCCGAATCTTCAACTGCTCTACCTTCATGTGCGCTAGTGCCATTTCTTCCCTTTTTCTTACAATCGACGATGCCTTCAAACTGGAGGCCCCGCTTCTCATGTTCTTGGAATGTTTAGATTTAGCGCTTCTACTTCCGGTTTCATCATGTTATTCTATTTTCGCCTTCTGACGCCATTCTGTTACCATGGCATTGTGATTCAATTTGCATTTTCTTTGCTCTTCGTAGCTAACACAAACACTTTCTTTCTCAGTCTCATGCTCTATTAAAACGAGATATTTCTCATGTAACCCGACAAATTCGCACCAAGCTTGGTCAAACTTATTCAATTTCAACGAAATGTCCCCCACATTACACTTATTGTAAGCAATCATATCGGAAATTTCTTTATAAACTTTCGTAATTACGCCAATAACCCGCACGACTTTTCGCTAGTTGGTGTATTTTCTCAGATTTATATTCCAAATCACTCGCCTGATTGTTAGGTCTAGGAACTCTTGTATGCGGTTCTGACATTTCATTACTGTGAGATTCTATATTAACTTCCTTGTCAGATATCTTTAGCAAACACTGTCTCAATATCAATGCAAAATATTGTTCTCAGATTTAATTGTTTACAGCTATATGCAACAATGACAACACAAACGAATATATTGTTCAATAAATGTCGCTCCAAAGCGTATAGTCGAGAACTGTAGCTAACCCGCGTTAGCTTTAATTCAAATTCACTCTAAAATCACAGATTTGATACGTTTAACTCAACTCCTGTCTCAATTCAGCAATACGCAATAAATTTCTTCGACAATAATTCAATATTAAATCTTTATACGAATAGTATAGCAATAGGAATACGTTTTTTATAATAAATACAGATATAAACAAGAAATTACTTATATATCTTATACATAACATAATATTAAAGTAATAAAGAAAGTCCTTAACGACTGTATCAAACTAATTCACATCTTTAACACCAATCTTTCGCTTGCAATAAGTCACAGTTCAAATTCGTCTTCGCTCGCAGTCAAGAGCAAAATATCAATTCCAAAACACGCCCCCCCCCCCCAATCTTGTTTATAGTTTTTCTTAATTATGTAATATTGTTAATATCTAATGGTGGCTACAGACCTAACCTTGCAAGGAATATCATTAGTAACAACAATAAAAGTTTTAACGAGTATCTTACTGGAAATTACAAATCGAGTATGCTGTTAGAGCCTATCACTGAATATGAGCTTGAAAATGAAATCAACATTATAAAACCAAACAAAAGTTGTGGTTATGATGGTATAAATGATAGCATCCTTAAAGCTATTTAATTTTTTTTCATTTTTTTTTCAAAACAGGATCTCAAAACTGGTAAATATAAAAAAAAAGTGTAAGATTAATGACTTTCAAATCTTATTTTGAACACAGTGAACCAATTTTTAATGATTTACAAATACTCGATTTATACAAAATTAATTCATACCTAACATGTTTGTTCATGTTTAGGTATTATAACTTACAAAACTTACCAGAAATGTTTGAAAATTATTTTTCAAAAAACAATGAGTTTCATAGTTATAACACAAGAAGTTCATCACTATTACATAAAACATATAAAAGAACAAACTACACAAAACATTCTATCACATGCAAAGGAATTGATGTATGGAATGGTCTTGATAACCATTATAAAAAAACAGGATCTCACAGCACATTCAAAACAAAAATTAAAAAATATTTTTTACAAATCAATTCAGTTACCTAACTCTGTAAAATAAGTCAGATAACATAAATATGTATACCGTCAACTGGGGCTATTTGGGACAATTTTTTCATTCAAAATTAAAAAAAAATTGAAAACCTAAATTATTTCATCAGCTATTAGTGATTTTAATTTAATCCCTGCATGCTGTTTTTTGCCATGTGACAAAATTATTTTACCCATAAAAAATTAGATATTTTTTTTAAAAAAATTGCTCTTGTCCCAAATTACCCCAGTTTGACTAATTTGGGACACTTACGTATTTTGCTAAAAGTTCCATTTAAGACCACCCTGGCTAATTTGGAACACTTGTGTGAATTTTTTCAATATGTCCTATGCAGCATTTTTTAACATATGCAGGTGTCCCAATTTACCCAACATTGGGGGTAAATTGGGACAATAACAATTCAACACTGACACAGTAGAAATGAACGTCAACTAATTCTATTTATAACAGCAACAAAAACATAAAAATACTTAGAAGCTAAAATGCTTCCATCAAAGTGTCAAAATAAAGTTTAAAGACCAGCTTAGTTATGGTTAATAGGTATATTCCCATCCTCTTCCAACCTTTGTCAATTTAGGTTGCACATCAGTCTCAAAGACTTTTTCATAAAAGACTGCTTGACTGTCTTCCTCAAGACTTTGTGGTTCTTTCACACCAAATGGTTTTTCGAGACATTGGACATAACATTCATTATTTACTTTCCTCTGAACTTTCCCTAAAAATACCCAGATTTAGAGATTCTTCAAGCTCTTTTAAGAGCCTCGGAAAAGCATCTTTAGGTAATGTACCTTGGCCTGTGTTCTGTAATTTCCATTCTTTTAAGGTTTTACGCCATTTACGCTTTAGTGGCCCATAAAAAGCGACATCTAGGGGTTGAGAAAGGTGAGTGCTATTAGGCACCAAGCAGACAAAGGAAATATTCTCCTGTTCGCATAAATCTAATACATCACTGGAAAAGTGACTTGACAAATTGTCCCCTATCATTACTTTTGGGCCTTCAATTTTCCTAGCCCATGGCAAAATAATGGATCGAAACCAATCATCAAAACATATTGTATCAAACCATCCACTTTTTCAGCGATTGTACCGAGTCCTGCGTGGTCCTCCAGTTGTCCAAGTGTTCCACAGATTGGCAGCTTTGTAAACAACATAGCTGGGTAGTAATTCTCCAGCAGCAGTTCCTGCAAACATAATGCTGATACCCCTTTGGAATAATTTTGAATTCGTTCTGGATACTTCTTTCCCCTTTTGAAGATGAGCTTCTCTTGTCCAGGATCATCAGACAAGTTTGTTTCATCATAATAAAGGATGTTTTCAGGGGGGGCATTTGTTATGACCTGACTGAGATTTTCAAAGTAGTTTTCAAAGTCCTCTTTCTTCATTTCTGCATGCGGAGTTTTAATATTTTGACAATGCCGACGACTAAGTTCGTTTGAATGGCGCTTTAAGAAACTTCTTGCCCAATCTTCCCCTGGAATGTTATTTTTGAATTGGTTTACTCGGCGGTTAGCTTTATCCAAATAGGCTTTCACCATCAAGTGTAAGTCTAGATTTGAAAAAGGAAACCCCCACTCTGCTACCACAATAAGATGTTTTACAAAAGATCTTTCTTCCTCAGGGGACAAGCTTGGTGGGTGGCCGATAGGTCTCATTTGAATTCCTTTAAGTTTACGATGTAATGTTGACTTAGGAATGCTAAATGACGATGAAGCTTCACAAATTGACATATTACCTTCATGAATTGCAACAATTGCATTCTTAATAGCATCTTGTGTATAGTCCCCATACCTTTTCTTTTTAGATCCAATAACTTTTTTGTATTTTCTCATGATAAATAACTATTTTCAACACTGGTTTTCATCCAAACAATATGGTGTCATGCAAAGAATGTGGTATGGTGTCATGCAAAGAATGTGGCGTGTGGGCACATACATAGGTGTACATAAGCGATTACATGCACCCCACACTGTCCCAAATTACCCCACTATAACCCTGATTTGAAATTTGAGCCTGCTATCAAAATACCAGTCAGCAAAACACTAAAGACTTCATATAATCTTAATAAGGGATAGATGCACAAATTAAAATATTAGAATGTTTTCCCTAGAAATTTATGTTGTACAGCAATACCGACATATTTTTTTAGGTTACTGTGGGAATGCTTAACCCCATAAATTGTAGAAATCTAAAAATCTTGGCCTGGAAGGCATTTATTTTACTGTTTTCATTCTGTCAGATAACAAAATTGACTTACTTAGGCCAATGTAATTTTTTAACAAAAAAAAATGTATTGCATGCATGTGAAATATGAGAAATGTGATATGGTGCATTTTTTGTCCCAAATTATACCACTGTCCCAAATAGCCCCAGTTGACGGTACTCTAGAATTGTTGTATGTACTATATATATATTTAATAGTGTACACATGCATGCATATGTAGCGGAATCTACGGAATCGTCGACTTTATGAAAACAATTTTATTTTGAACAATTATTGTTAATTATGAACATTCTAGTTAAATAGTTTTTGTTGAACTGTTAATGTTAAATGTATGATTATATATAATTGATTACACTAGGGACCTTAAACAAAAGCCTGACGGTTTCTAGTAGGCCTCTAGCCCTTATTTGTAAATAATATTAATTAATAATCAATGTTAAATTTGGGCGAAATTAATAAATAAATAAAATTTTAAGCAAGCTGATGGGAAGTTTAGATTTATTGTTCCATTTTTTCTGTTTTTACATAAACTTATAGAAACCCCCAATATCACACTTCAGAAAGGAAACATTTAAATTTATGGATTAGAGAAACTGGCTGCAAATAAGGTGCTAAAGAGGAAAATGAAAAGATCTAACATCTCTGCCATCTGATGCAACATCAGTTGTTGTCCTCCAACAGATTGTAATATTTTTCCTAAAATCAAAACAGCAAATGATTCGCAAAAAGAGAGAGCTTAAACTGAATAAAATTAGCATGGCGATACATCAACAACTGCGGCATAAGACATCATCATCTGGTATGCCAAAATGCAAAGAAATTATTCAATTGAGGTCTGGAAGTGTGTCATCTGACAGCATCAGAAGTTTCTTACAGTCACTGTCTGCCTATCCTTATTCAAATCGAGAAGTAATGTTAGCAGAACTGCAGGGCAAAGAGCTGGCTAAAATATTAAAATCATTAGAAAAGCCAACATTTCTGGGTAAGAGTTTAGTAAGCAGATTGAGTCATTGCTACATGCCATAGAAAGATAATATCTATATAAATTTTACCAAAACAAACTTGAACCAGAACATAATTGTGAAAAACCTCACTTGATAATCTCTTCTTTTGGTTAATGAATAAGTATACTGTAAGTGTTTGCAGAAAGATTCCACAGATGTCAACTTGAGAATCAACAAGAGATCACAATTGACAGCAATAAAGACAGACCCTATTGGGAACTAAAACAATTCAGAAGACAGAAATGATCATTTCAAAATTTGAATTTGTTGTTAATTAAATGATCCAAAAACTATAGAATTATTTGAACATTTGAATATATTAAAAAATACAGGTAGTTTTATTATGAACCTGTACCAGTCAAATCAAAGCATAACTCAGCCTCCAAATAGTAGCACAAAACAATCATTGGTTCATTAATTCGAGCTTAATAGAGTATGTTGGCTGGCTATTTAATTAAAGTTTCATTAATACATTAGCCCATTAAGTGCCAGCACTTTCCCCTTGACAAGTAAAATCAGCTGGTGTTAGACAGCACATCACGGCACAATGCGGCTCAATGGGTTATCCCTTTAAGTGGCAATGTGTCCCACTTTATTATCGAATGCCAGACGATTTTACTTGTCAGGGGGGTACCGCCACTCAGTGGGTTAGTCAGATTCAAAATGAGTCTTGTACTTTAACTGCTGTGTTTAATTCATTCAATCAAACTCTTTAAAGATGCTGTAAAGTCTCGTAGTATAAAGATTAATGCCCAGCATAACGTATGCAAAAGAGCCATATAGACAATAAAATAGACATAAAATTTATTTAAGAAGTACTAACGTTTCGTCTCTAACCGAAGACATCTTCAGAGTAAATGAATAAATTACTATTTACAATATCAAATTACAAGGTAATAGGAATGCGGAGGAGGGGGGGATAGATAGGATCTTAAAATCATCACGTGAAGCAGTATAACCTGAGTGGCTCAGATGGGAAAAGATACTCGTAAGTTGAGGACTGCTACATGGCCAGAAATTCAAGACATGCACCTGTCGGAGACGGCGGTTCTCTGTGCGAAAACACCAAAGAGAAGAAATTCTAAATTCTATTCTGCCAAGCGAATCATTGGGCGGAGAAAACGACCCCATGCATGTAAGTAAAATTTGACGAATTTTACCCAACATGATATACATGTGAAATGTTTAAAGTATACAGTGATTCTGTGAATCACTGAATGTCTTCAAGGAATATATATATCTGTTTGAGGTCAAGAGGAACGATTATTTTTTAACATCTTGTCATATTCTTCCAATATTTGCAAGTATAATGACTTACATGTAGCCATTGCATTTCTTTTAGGGCTATGAATATCTTATAAAGTGGGAAGGCTGGCCATTCCATAGTTGTTCATGGGAGCCATCAGACAACTTAAACCATGCTCTTTAGGTTAGTATTTTTATTAAATATTGTGGTACGTAGTATAGCAAAAGTGTTGTTATGCAACATTAAATTGTACTTATTCTATTCCTATAGGAGTTATGGCATGCCAGCGAAACCTGATGGTCACAGATTGGAAAGAGCATGTCGAGATTTCGTGCATGCCATCCACTCAAGGCTAAAGTCCAAGTCCAATGGATCAGTGTATGCAAACATGTAATTAGATGTGTGGCAGTACTTCACTTTTGGGAAAGGCTGAGTACAAGGGGCATACAATGTTTGAAAAAAAGGACTTTCTACGTTTTGATTGGCTTACCTGAAAATTGGTTTTATACATTAAACCAACTTGGTGAAGGTATTAAAGCGAAATTCCCAATGAAGGCAAAGCCTATTGTTTCCTGGACTTCCTCAGCATTTATGTCAAAAAGTGGAAAATTGGAAGTAGCGCCAAAACATTCCCATTGAAAAAATTTCTATTTTGTTTGTCAAAGCAGCTTGTAATATTGACAATATATAAATATGATAATCTAAAGGAGGAAATATTTAATGTAACTCATACATGCCATGGAAACTGATTATGCTATGCACATAAATCTATACCCCAAAACAGTGTAAAGACAATACAATACTAAACATTTGAGTGAAGCAAGTCATTTACAGTAAGCTTCCAGACTGCAGCCTTCAACAAGATAATAAATATGAAATGTATAATGTTATATACCTAATTAAAAGTGTTCGGATCTCTAGCAAGTCAGCGATGGTAGGATGAAACGTTGACGTTTTGAGCAACAGCCCTTCGTCAAAGGCCGCGTACTAATTCTGATGTATTCACCTTTTCTCAAAATGTCAATGTTTTACCCTATGCTGAACTTCAGTCTGTTTTATAATGCAAAATATATTGTTAATGTTAAATAATTATATTGTTCTACAATTCTCCTTGTTCTGTAATTATTGTATACATATCTTATTTGCAATATGCTAACTCCTCCCCCAGTTACTTTTTAGACTGCAAAGCTATGCGATACATGTCTTGCAATCTTGTGACATTTCTCACTCTTGTTTTAATGCCTATACCTTTCAATCGTAACTGAAGTTCTTCACATGAAAGAAGTGAAATATCCTCCATATTATCGTTAGCCTGCTCCTGCATGATTACAAAAACGAGTGTGCTTCCACCGATTTTCATGAATTTCTGACTTCCAGTATTCTGACACCTTGTTATACAGTCTTGGTGTCCTCTGTAACTCGCTTAAATGTTGAAGCCTTTCTTCAACCAACAACACATCTTTAGTAGCATCCCACTTGTTCGACTTTTCCAAATAAATTCTTCTGCAAACATCATTAAGTTTTTCAACACCTAATGTAAAATAATGATTGGATACATGTAATATCCTTTTTGCAGGAAAGCAGGTCATTCATAGTTCTGTAAAGCAAACTTTGGTGCATTTGTTATAGCCTATTCAAATAAGGCATTGTATTCAAGGTTTTGAGCAAAGGCCTTTCGCCAATAATTAGTAGGAGTGGTTTCATAGGAATAGAGTATATTCATTTGATTACTTTGCTCCATTCTTACTTCTAGTTCTCATTTTGTTACCTTGTCCTAAAAAATTTCGCATTCCTTTGTGCATCCTCATTGAGCAAGGTATATGATACACCATGGCATGGATATATGGTGTAATATTCTGTTTGGCATAGCCCTGGCGCTTATCTCCCAGTGACAGAAACAGTGTCACCCAAGCTGTAGCCTGTAATAAAAATAAGAAAATGTGATGTTGTGTATATCCTGTAGCATGGGCAGTACTCTATATATGTTTTTCATGAACATTTAGGAATCTTTGTACCTTAGAAAAATATAGATCAATATCTGTGTCTGTCGGATCTTGCTTCTGAATATATTCGTTATAGATATTGGTTGAAATCCTGCCAAAATGTGGTAGAATAAGGCAGTAATTAATCTAATATTCTCAGTGGTCACAATGTGTATGCTCAATACATTACTGCATAGATATGCAACTTGAGTGTTTATAATATTAATTATATGTTAAGACCAATGACTTAGTACTTCTGTGCATGTTGTCTATATGGTCAATTGGCTCAGAGTGTATTGCTTGTTTAGCGATAGCACTGGCAGCAAATAGTAAAATTAGGCCTTAAAATAGCAAAATAATCAGTTGTAAAAATACTGCATATGAAAAGTACTTTATTTTACAGTATACTGTACCTTCCAAATCCTAATTACTGTAGCACTTGTCGAAAGTTCAATGACACCATCTAGCTTAGCTGATAGGTTTTCCAACAGAATCTTTCTATCTGTTCCTATAAGACTGGTAAATTCATGTACTCCACTTGCTTGCCCATCAGAATCCCACTTTTCCCAAACTGAAAATGAAACTCCACAACTGCAGATGGCCTTGATCAGGTTTTGAAGATGTATTGGTTGCCTATTGTGTGGAGCCTTTTCTAGATTTGCAGCAAGATCTCTATCTAAGGCTTCTTTTACCAAATTATCAATAAGTTTATCTGGCAATATAAATGAAACAAAGTTGATGCCTAATTCAAATCGCTATAAGTATATTAGTTAACCCATTAAGCGCCAGCGCTCTCCACCTGGACAAGTAAAATAATCTGGTGTTAGACAGAGTAAAATAATAAAGTAGGGTGCATCAGGGCGCAATGCGACTCAATGGGTTAATATATGTTACAGGGATGGATTTACTGGGGTGCACCCCATCTAGCCCTGGCCAGAGGGGGGTGCTATTTTTCATTATAAAGCAAAAAAATTATTAGACAAAATGAGATACAGTGTAGAGTAATTTGAGTAATAACATGATGATAAACAAACTGTGAACAACAATTACAATTCAAATAGAGTAGTCAAGCAAGACTTTGCAGTAGTCAAGCAAGTTGATGGGTGGGCAGCACACATGACCGATACAACTCGACACCAGAGCTGGCAGAGCACCCCCCCCCCCCTACCAGATAATGCTGGATCCATCCCTGATATGTTATATCAATGTTAAAAACCAGAGGGGGTCCTACAATACCTGTAATTCTTAGCATCAAATGAAGCTCGTCCAGCACAATGTTTTCCAAAGGAATGTTGAGCAAAGGAGGATGCTCACAGGAAAACGTTTGGTTTAGGCAACATTCTCTTATGTTGTCCAAAGTTCTTCTGATATTTTCCATCTCATAGAAATTCTTCAGGCTTTGTCATACCATATCTAATTGGTAAAATGTATATTGTCATTCAAATGTGTTTTTGTATAAGTAGAGCCAGGTGAAATGGTTTTTCATAATTTCTGGTCTATGAATGCAGGAAAGCACTAACGGACATACAATGGATCATCCTAAAGTATAGCCTGACACCTGCCCTACTCTAATACTAAGCCCTAATCCTAACGCCAATCCTAAAAGGTGGTTTGCAGTATGATAGTTAGTGTTTTCCATTAATGCAGACTATGGTAACATTTCGGCACAGGTAACATTTCGGCACAGGTAAATATAATGTGGTTTTGGCTCTCTTGTGTCGGCCAGAATTAGAAGCTGCAGTAAGTGTGCTCTTGCCCACAAAATGTTGTCATTTGACTTTACATACCTTAAAAACTTGTAAATCTTGCACCAGATGCAGGCATAGTCAGAACTTGCCTCTTTCATCCCCAGCAACAGCAAAAGTAACTAGAGATAATTGAAGGGGCATATAGCATATCAAGTAATGTTTTGGGTGAGCAGATCCTGAAATACATTTAAACATCAAGGGCATAAGGTATATTTTGCTAAAAAAATAAGGGGCACTAAAAATCTTTGTGGTAAAAATATACCATTCAGACCCCAGGTAGGGAAAACCCAAATGTTAATACAATGAATACAACAAACCTTGTTGTCTGAACCTAAAAACATTTCCACTGGTACTCGATTCTCATCTATTGTGATAAATCCATTTTCCACAATTTTGTTCACATCATTAAAAATCCTGGCACAAGATGATTGGATGAGGTCTCTTTCCCCTTAATCACAGCAACTGTTTGGTTCCCTAGAAGAAATAGTCTCAGTTTCAATAGAGAAGATGGGTGGTACTGTATGTGCAGTTTGGTTGCTAGGTTGAGTCAGATTAGCATCAGTGTATACTTGGCCCTTTTCAATATTTATCCAAGCTGCATGCAAGGTTTTCTAAATACTAATTCAAGAAAAAGTTTTTACTAGCTGTACTGTTAGTAAAACCAAAACAAAGCCAATACTTATCATACAGGAGTATAAAACAAACATTAACCTTTGGATCCCAATACAGCTTCACCAGCATTCAAATTGGAGAAATAAATTATTACAAATCCAGTAAGCCTGGTCATTTTGGCACCATCACCACTCAATTTGATGTTGTACTTAGTTGGAACATCCAGGCCATCAAGTATTAGGGGTGCACCGGAACCAATATTTTAAGATCCGGCCGGAACCGGATTTAACCGGAACTGGCAAAGAAATCCGGCCGGAACTTCCGGCCGGAACCGGAACTTAGTTTGTTAGCCATATATGGTCATAGGTATCAAAAGCTGGGGGGGGGAAGTTGGAAAAAATAAAATTAAATATTGATTATTATCGACGTAATGGTGTAAATTATAATTATGGTATATGAATATATGAAATGATTAAATTATCTGCATGTGCTTGTTATATGAAGTACTTTCCATAATCCACCATTCAAAACCGCTGACCATATTTTTATGTTATAAAAAAATTAAATATTATAAACATATTTTTAAAATATTAATATTATACGAAAAACACAAGGAAAACCGGGAAAAACTACAAACGGGCTGTGCTATAAAGAAGACAATACTCAAGAGTATTACTAATTTTCAAAGATTGCATATTTTTGATCACGTAAGTAAGAGTAAAACCATACAATTATGTTTACGTTTTGAGGTTTTTAAATCGTCAACTTTTTATCATATTGAAAACGAAACTATTCAAATAAGATACAGCATTACAGGAAAATTACACAACACAAAATCACAAGTCTTGTTACCAATTCTAAATTTGCAATATCGCAGTATGGTCAGATCCGACCCTGTGATAAGTTCATGTGCATCATCAAATTACACCTATCAATTACCAAGTAATAACTTTACATACAGTACATGCTAACTTCAGTGACGATATTTCTACAACGGATTTACATAAAAGATACAAAATAACGCACGCATAATACGCGTGCACCTTTTATACAATATTTTACGGCATGGTCTACTTTCGGGACCCTGTTGAGAATGAAAGAGATCCATTAGATTAATAATGATTACAAGTAAACAGGTTCAAGATGCATGTGGAGGTCCTATTACCTATATTCCAGAATTAAAACATCAAATCACACCTATCAATTACTAAGTAATAACTTTACATACATTAAATGCCAACGTCAATTACGATATTTCTACAATGGATTCACATATAAGGATACGCAATGCACTGGTATACACGTGCACATCTTATACGGGGTCTCACGGCATGGTCTACTTTCAAGGCCCCGTTGAAAATATAAGAAATCCATTAGATAAATATGTGTGTATATGCGTGTGTATGTGTATGTGTGTGTGTATATGTGTGTATATGTGTATATATATGTGTAATGAATATAAGTAAACCACAGGTCCAAGACACATGTAGAGGTCTTATTACCTATTCCAAAATTAAAATATGCAAGCCCTATTACCAATTCCTAATTTGCAATATCGCAGTATGGTCAAATCCGGCCCTGTGAAAAATTCATGTGCATCATCAAATCACACCTATCAATTACCAAGTAACAACTTTACATACAATACACGCTAACTTCAATTACGATATTTCTACAATGGATTTACATAAAGATACACAAAACAACGCACGCATTACACGCGTGCACCTTTTACACAATATTTCACGGGATGGTCTATTTCAAGACCCCGTTGAAAATATAAGAAATCCATTGGATGAATAATGATTATAAAATATAAGCAAACCACAGGTCCAAGACGCATGTAGAGGTCCTATTACCTATCCCAAAATTCATATATTTTTGCCTTTTTGTTAAATATTTATATTTATTAATTTGAACACTTTTTTAACAAACTTCCAAGGATTATTAAAACCGTTAGAGTTGAATAAGGAACAATAATTAAATTAATCCATTTGTTTTAAGATGAAAAAGTCATGTCAATAATTTGGCAGTTTTTCACTGTCGAGGACCAGTCGGATACAGTTGCAAAATGTAAACTTTGTTTGAAAGGATTACGGAGAGGAAAATTCGGATGTCTTCCCAAGGATTTCAGCACATCTCCACTGCATAAGCATATGAAATCCATGCACGCGGTAGAATATCGCAAGGCAGAAGAAACGGCGCTATGCGAAGCGAAGTCAAGAACGGAAGAGAAAGCAGATACAGGACCGTCTGGGTCCGTCTCCAAAGCAGAGGAAGCTGACCGCTATAACTCAGATGACCCTGGAAGAAAGCTTCAGCCAGAAAAAGTATTGGGATATCAACGATAACCGTTCTGTATCCATTCACCAAAAAGTCATGAATATGATGGCCATGGACAATCAGCCATTCTCAATCGCTGAAGACCAAGGCTTCATTGAGTTACTAGCCCATGTTCAACCAAAGTATATGATACCAAGTCGAAGATACTTCTCGGATGTTATGCTTCCTAAGACCTTCAAGGAGATAAAAGCCCGCCTCTTAGCTCAACTGGATGAAATTCATGCCCCACATGTTTCATTTACGTCTGATATTTGGACCAGTCAACATTCAGTCGAATCGTTTATCTCGCTAACAGCGCACTGGGTCGACGAGGAATTCCAACGTTGCAGCGGTGTTCTCAGCGCACAGCATTTTCCTGGTTCTCACACTGGGGAAAATATTGATCAAATGGTCAGCAAGATGATGAGAGAGTGGGAGATTTCTGAGGAGAGGCAGCACATCCTTGTACGTGACGGGGCATCTAATATGGCTTTGGGACTTCGTTTGGCAAATGTAGCAAGTGTGCACTGTTTTCTTCATATTCTTGATCTCGTAGTGAAAGATTCCATCTTCAGTCAGCGTACTATTATCGATCTTTGTGCAAAGGTCCGTCGTATTGCTACTCATTTTAATCATTCAAGCCTGGCTCGCAATGAACTGAAGAATCTTCAAGCTGAGCAAGGAATTAATCTACCATTATTCCCAGTCCAAGATGTTTCAACACGGTGGAACAGCACGTACCTTATGCTTGAAAGAGCATTGACTCTAAAGCGACCACTTCAGATTTACACTGCTAACCACGATGTCCCAGTTCTTAGCTTAAACGAATGGAATCTGTGTGAGAAAATTCTGCGCATACTTCAACCTTTCTTTGAGATTACTAAGCAAGTTAGCTCTGAGAAGTCGACGCTAGGTGACGTTATACCTCATGTCGTTGCCCTTGATCGACATTTGTCGAAGCATGGTCATGATAGTGGAGTGCAAACTACTAAAACTGAGATATGAAACGCCCTCCGACAACGGCTTCTTTCATGCTTACCCAACAAATTAAATGTCAAAGATGACAAGAATTATGTCATCACAACGGTGGTTGATCCACGCTACAAATTAAAGTTCCTGAACAACAAGGAATCTGCCAAGAAGTGGCTTCTAGAAGAGATGCAACTTCAAGCAGCAGTTGCGCCAGCTAATACCAATACACACGCGGCAGACGAAGACAACAATACCCAAGAGGCCGCTGGATTGGCTGGAAATAAGCCAATCGAAGGAGAAACGGCTGCGAGACGATGAAGAGATACAAACGCACCCAAATCGCTTAAAGAGGAAATTCATATTGATTTTCTGAAGTGCTATGACGAAGTCAGTTCTGCAGAAGAAAGTTGCAGAGAAGAAGAAAATTCTGAAAGAGATCAAACCTATGATCAAACCGAAGTTTCCAGAGTGCGCCGGAAAAAGCCGAAGGGACCAAGTCTTTCTGAGTTGGCAAGTGAAGTAGACAGATACACTCTGACTCCAACTGTTGAAAGGTGGAGAGAAGAGAAATCAGTTTATCCAACCATTGCCAAAGTAGCGCGTCGGTACCTATCCTGTCCAGCATCATCTGTTTATTCAGAACGCCTCTTCTCCGAAGCTGGTAACGTCTTTGAAGAGCATCGTGCACGCCTTCTTCCACGAAATGGTGAACACTTACTATTCCTGCACCACAACCTTCCTCGATTCCCAAACTGTTAACTAGTTGGGACACTAATGTACTGTAGTCATGAAAGACATGTCATTTGACTCATTTTAATGGCTCTTGGTCTTATTGACGTTATATTGTTTAAAGTTATTGTTAACACTTATAACAGAAACATTTACTGTGGCAAGTTTTTTATATGTTTGCATATAAAGTGTGTATAAATGTATACGTAAAAACACACGTTAATTTCGCTTTTCACGGCTTCGTGATAATTGGTCTGTTTGATAAATTGGTATGTTAATTATACTTCACATGCAGTTGTTAAAATTAGAAATTGATCAATTTTAATAAATAAATTCGATATTCCAACTCTCTGAAAATAACAGAGTTCCGGTTCCGGCCATGCTTTTTCAACCAGTTCCGGCCTGAACCGGATCTCGCAAAAATCAGGGTTCCGGCCGGAACCGAGTTCCGGTGCACCCCTATCAAGTATGCACTTCTTCACCTGAAAAAAAACATAACACAGAACATGCATAAATGACCAGTGTAAGTTTTACTCTCATGAAAATGTGTACAAAGAACCTGGGTGAAAAATTTCATGCAAATTTAGGTTACATAACTGAATAACCAATAAGCACCATACTAATATGGAGTATATCTTCAGAACAGAAATTCTTCCATATTTGCAAATCAAACAAGGTAAATAAATTATTTTGACAAACTTACATGTTTTTGGATTTCCCTGCACAATGTGTCGGGAATGTTCAACATGGTTAAGTGCATTTAACAATTCCTCTGATACCTCTTTAATCAGGTATGACCGTGGTAAGTTCTCTCCGGCCGACATCATGCTAAGCTGGTAATGGGCAGCCTTGCCAATACAGAACTGGTCTACAATCAACAAGATTTCCTTTATTCTATTGCGTTCCTCTTCTGAAAGATCCTTGAATCCTTTTCTTGTTGAGGTGGGGTTGTAGGTCAAGGTGTGATTTGTCCCAGATTTGTCTGAGAAGGTTGCTGACTCCAAAGTTAGACCAAAGGTTCCAGCAAACCAAAGGCTCTTCTCCACATTCATCTTAACTTCAGTAAGTTTTCGGGCTTGCTGCCTTTTTCCAACATCATGTACTTCTTTCCCTGTATTTCTAAAATTAACCGGAACTCCAACTTTCTCAAGGTAGTCACTTAGCTCCTTATTGAGCTCCAAAATGTCCTGACACTCTTCCTCTTTCTTGCCTAATGCTTCATCAGCTCTTCCCTTGTTGTCAGTCATATTATTCAACTGTGTCCATAACACTTCACATCTCTCCTTCAACCCATCATTTTCTTTTGATAGCAAATCAATCTTCCCATTTGCAGCTTTAACTTGGTTTTCAACCTTGACTACCTCATGTTGAAAAACTGAGATATGCTTAACCTTAGCAAGAAATTCCTCTCGTACACGACCATTAAGCTTATGGGCTTTACTATTTATAGCTGCACCACTTCTCCTAAGTATACCATCGATTCTTTCGCTTTTGTGGAGCTTTAAACCGTGTTTAAGTAAGAAAGCATTCACAATTTGTACAAACGAATACTGAGCTAATGTACCATCTTGCTTCGAGTTATACCAACTTTGCCCACAGAAACCATCATTGCCCACAGAAAGCCCTGATTCTGGGCTTTGTTTTGATATCAAATATGGCCGGCTTTTAAAAAGGATAGATGTTGTTTTCACATGTTTATCTCGTCTTCGCCCACAGGAAAATTATTGTTTGTGGATAATTCACTTGTCAATTTCTACTGCATTTCTCTGCAAAAATGGACGGTCTAAAATATATCAGATCACTTCGAAAATAATGGAAGGAATACTTGATAGAGTGAAGTTTATGAGGAAAGTGAGGCAAATTTGGCAAGAGATGAAATTGTGCACATTGTATACAGTTCATAGGAGTCAGATCTGTGCAATACAGGTAAAGAAGTGGACGTAGTAGGAGGTAATAATATGAAATGATACTTATTTTATATGATTACAGTTGTTTTGTTATGTTAAAAAAATGTGAGGCAAATGTTGTAACAGCGATTGAACTGAGTTAAATTTACAAAAAATGGCATTCCCCTATACTATTCTATAGTAGCTTTTCAGCCATCTTGCTTTTTAAAGTTCGCACATGCTCAGTGCAAATGTCTTGAATTTCTGGCCATGCTTGTCTTATCAGTTAAGGCAGAAATACCCAGGTGTTCAGAGACTTGTGTATGTAAATGGCGGACTGTTTGGCCCACATACGACGTGGAACACCATCGACACTTAAAAGAATAAACTACACAAGACCTCAAAGCATCAGGAATTTTGTCCTTAAACATGAAGAAATTGGACAAACGTAGAGTGGGACGAAATTCGATTATGATGCTTATATGTGGGAAGGCTACAGAGCAAAGGCATTGAATTTGGGTACAGATTTGGAGAGAGTGTGTTTCGGTATATGGAAGACAAAAGTATACCACTTTCCTTGATACAGAATTGATTAATTCCTTGGGTTGAAAGGTTTTATCAAGAAAGAGTCCAACACAACGATAAAAAAGACGAGTAGGATAACCGTTCTGGTTGAGGATTTTTTTAAAAACTCAATCTGTGCATTGAAATTCTCATAGCTAGAGAAAATATTGAAAAAGCGATGTAACCGTGAATATATTAAACCATGTTTAAATTGTAGAGGAGTGAAGCTATGGAAATTAGTGAAAAACCCTGTGAATGTAGGTTTTAAGATAAACAGAGGTTTCAAAGTGGCCATTATAATCTTTGTGTGATAGTAATGTCAAGGAGGGAAAGTTGACAATTGGATTCAACTTCACAAGTAAAGTTAATGTTAGGATGTTGGCAATTGAGATATGCAAGAAAAAGAGGAATATGGTCCCTAGAACAGAATAGAAGTAGAACTGGTAAGACGAGTAGCAAATTCAAACCTGAAAATTTCCAACCTGCAAAATTCCTAACCTGCAAAATTCCAACCTGCAAAATTCCCAACCTGCAAAATTCCATAACAAAGAGGGACCCACAGATATATTAAACATTGCCCAAATTTCACATCTTTCGAACTTTTTTGACTTGAAACTATAGTTTATATTCATTATGAGTTTAGCAAACCAGAATAGTTTTAGATATTTGGTCAGTATATCATATTGTACAAATATTGCAGTTCAAATTGTAAACAATGAAAGTGTTTGTTTACATTACAGCTTTACTGCATCTCTACGTCAAGCTTTAAATCTTATACTGCAAGAAAAGAGTAGTACTACTTTATACATGTACTGCACAATAATTTCTTCAAATTTCAATAGCCCACATGTTTCGAGAAAAATGCTGTCAACATCAACCCTTCTCGGAAGGAATTTGCCTGATCTAGCTTACCATAATTCACCTGTATCAGCCTAAAATACGTTTGTTTGCTTTTTAGCAAGAGATTTGGATGCTTGATACGATACAGCACTGTTTTGCATAGGTTCGATTCCTACCAGAGGACCTTGTGCTGCATTTTTCGCAGTCGTTCCTGGTTAGGTCTTAAAATGTATGTATTCTCACTTGGATTACAAACCCATATGCATAGGCAGTCATATTGTATTGCAATTCATGGGATGGTCTCCTCGCAAGACCATGTGAGTAATGTACATCATGAAATTATTCCTATCATTAAGGAATAATTTTAGATGACATGGACAGGACTGACAAAGAAAATACACAAAACACTGCACACACTATAACCATGCAGTCCATGCATGTACCTGCTATTCAATATTTCATAGTAAGGTTAAGTATACTTTCCAGACCCTGTGAATATCTTAGAAATCAATAACTACATAAGGCTTACACGAATGTTGCACAATGCAAAATCTCAAACGCCTGTAGAGGTCCAATTACCTTATATTACCTATCTCTAACGTATAATATAACTGAAATACCTTCCTCGCACCACCTGGTTGCTGTTTATACACATTTAATAACTGAAATATCTTCCTTGCCACCACCTGGTTCCTGTTCAAAGACATTTAATAACCAAATGACCGTCCTTACCATCACCTGGTTGCTAACCCAACAAATCATGTTTCCAGCTTTTATATAGTCGTTTGAGGGTACTTGACAAATCAGTTAAAAATAGTAATATAACAGTCTTTATTCAATACTCATTCAAGAAAACACGTCTGAGTTTACAATAGTTAAAACAAACATTGATTAGGTGCCTGCCTTCCATATATATATGACCTATATATGATTGCACATTGGCAATTTGCTAGAGGTGAAATTGTGGTTATTGGTGGGAGTGGTGGTTTGTTGTTGATGGTCCCCTGTTTTGTTGGTGATGTGGCTTTTTCTGAAGAACCTGCTTTTCAGATTTCCTGGTATATGGTGTGGTGGTTGCTGTGGTTTTTAGACGTTTCGTTTGATGTTTCATTTGGGTGTTATTTTGATGGTGATCTGTGGGTGCTTGTGATATCGATGAATGTGCTCGACAACCCCTGTGGAAGATTGTTGTTTAGCTCTGTGGAGAGTGATAAGATTTGCCCATCAATTTTTGATGATTCCTCCGAGTGGTGTTGGTGCAGGATGTTTCTGAGGTGGGACATGCAGGCCATAGAGACTTTACACCCTATACAGATGGCGATGAACACTGATTAACAAGACATAACACATTTTTAAAACATACGATATTCCCTTATATCAAACCATATTATCAAAGGAATCAGGATTTGAAACATTTGCAGAAAAGGCAATATATAAATAGGTCGAACATTCATTTACGAAACTGAAGTGCAAATGATTACAATGAGACACAAATAAACAATGAGCTGTTGATTGTTGAAACAATGAGCTTTTTGTTATTATAATGAGTTTTGGTTGGTCATGATTCATGAACTTATCAAAAGTGCAACGTTTTAACCCCTGTCCAGATACTGATTTATTCTCACACTTGTTTTGTTGATTGGCAAAACTGTAAATGACCTGATTAAAATGGATGACTGACGTTAATAATACATTAGTATTAAAATGCAAATGATTACTTTAATACCCTTGCATGCCAATTTGCATGCCTCACTTTCTGCCATGTTGGTCATGCTGAACTACATTAATTACCAGGCTGTCTGACGGGTGGAAAAAATATCGGACCATGGGACCATTGGTCCCAGAAAATTTTTGAATTCCCAGAAAATATTTCCCCAAGAAAGAAAAAAAGATAATTGTAAAAATTTAATAGAAAAAAGGAGAAATTCGGAAGAAAAATTCTAATCAATAGAAAGAATGCTACCTGTACTGTAGGTATGACCTCAGAAATGCAATTATGAGTGCATCCATCTTAATAGTGCAACAGTGTGTAAATGTATAAACTGTAGAATAATGTGACAAATATTGTAAGGCAAATGCATTTTTTGCCAATCTGGAACAGCTAATTTTCAAAATTTTCTGGGGAGCATGGATCCCCCTTGGTAGTACCCCCTATTACTGTCTTTTTAGCATCTTTATTCACCGTACGATCAGACCCTTCATCAGTGGCATAGGCAGGACCAAAACTTTCCACAAAATAGAGAAATGATTGTCCAAGTTTCAAAGTGTCCAATCTTGAACTTTTAGAAAGTCATTGTAATTTTTCTAGTCTTATTCAATATTTTTATTTTCTGCTTTCTATTATAAGCATTTACACAATTTTACAGCCCTGTTACCTAGCAACTGCAACTCTGCAACAGCTCATTTCCAGGTAATACATTGATTTACATGCGATGTGTGTTACTCCTGCTATCTGCCAAAGGCAGGAGTTGCTACAATATTTAGTACAAGAAATCCTGGTTTCTGATTGGATAATTAACCCTGTGCATGCTCAAAATGGCTGTTTTCCAAAGTCGAACTCTTGCTATTTCAAGAAAGCAGGAGTTAAAGTTGTATATCTTTTCTAGCATCTTTCTGCGATATAAATTATGAGCATATTATTTACTGCCAGATCATGAGTTCTTTGTCTGCTTTATGCATTGAAACAGGAGCGCTTTTATCGAGTAAAAAAATTATATACCAATTTAGACTTACAATGTGTATCAGTAAGCCACAGCAATTTTATTAATAATATGCCAAGCATAGTGGTCTGTGGTCCGTAGTTGATACCGGTAATGCTATTATACCTTATGTGTACTATAAGAACAAAATATCGATAACTATGTGTGACATTTCTAGGGGGTGGTGTGGTGGTGAAGGTCTCCTTGATATTTCTCATTGACAAAATCGATATGTGAGGCTTCCCTAACCACACAAATTTTGTTGTTCCCTTTGGATATATCTGTGAAATCACAGAAAATAGCCATTCCAGACATCTAAAATTCAAAAATTCAGTTTGACAACATCACACAGTTACAGTCAGAGTGTCAAGATACTTGATTATTTGCAGAAAATTTTCAATGTTCTCTTGCGGTCCCAGAAAGCAAAATATTTTTTCCACCCCTGCCATCTGAGTGCCTAATCGGCCTTGTGTCGCGAATTTATTATATTGATAAATTCGGACGTGTTTAAGAATTTACTCATATAGCAAATTCAAAGGCGAAGCTCACGTTGCATATTCTTGATTATGAATGTTGTAGTTTGTAAGGAATGACATTTCGTTTTCATTTAAGTTGAAATTTTGCTGATTATATGAGTTGTGCTTGAAGACTCGTTGAATGGATTCTGTCACAGAAGCAATGTATGAAAGTAAATTTTGATTGTCTGGAAGGGGTGGTAACCATGTACTTTGGATTTTGAAAGGGTTAGGGTGGTCATTGGAAAAATGTCTGAAGTGGTAGTGTATGTACATGGATCTTCTGAAGCATTTGAAGGTATTAGAACAAATTGGAGGCCCTTGGAAAGCATGCATTTCAGTGGTGGTGCTAGTTTATGGTTGGTGAGATTTACTATAAGGTTGTTATTGGTGAGAGTTTGGATTTGTTGACAACAGTGTTTCTTGTTACAGTTTTTTTCTGTGGGCTCTTCTGTGTGGTTGTTCATGGAGGAAAGATTATCTTTATTGCTTTTCTTTCATGAACATGTGGTAAATTGTGGGGAACTGTGATTATTTCCCCTTCAGTTGATGCTTGATACAGGAGTGCATGATGCTTGCTAGAGCTGGAATTGTGGTTATTGGTGGGCGTGGTGGTGTGTTGTTGCTGGGTGGTGGTGGTATCCATAATGGTGGTTTGGCAGGTGATGGTCCCTTGTTTTGTTGGTGATGTGGCCTTTTCTGAAGAACCTGCTTTTCAGGTTTCCTGGTATGTGGTGTGGTGGTTGCTGTTGGTGTTTCATTTGGGTGTTATTTTGCATTTTGATGGTGGTCTGTGGGTGCTTGTGATACGGATGAATGTGCTCGACAACCACTGTGGGAGATTGTCGTTTAGGTCTGTGGAAAGTGATGAGATTTGCCCATCAATTTTTGATGATTCCTCCGAGTGGTGTTGGTGCAGGATGTTTGTGAGGTGGGACATGCACTCCCAGATGCCAGTGTGTCGGTGACAATTGGACCCAGGGTTGTAAACTGGTGTTGAGACCAACTGGTGCTGCGTGGTTTGTGCTGTGTTTGTTGAGAATGGTCAATTGTCGTTGATGCTCATTGTTGCAGTGGTTTTGTTCAACAAGTTTGTTGAATATGATGTTTGTGTGGTGTGTGTTGGTGGGAGTGATATGTGCTTGAGGTGTGGTGGTGGTTTGCTGTGTTTGTGGATTTTATGGTGTGATTTGTGGGGATGTAAGCAGGGATGTTAGTGTGAAGGTGTCTTTGGCTGTGGATATGGGATGGTGGTTGGATACTGGATTGGGGTACTAGGTTATATCTGGGTGGAGGTTGGGGTTGTGTCTATGATGTTGGGACTCTGTGATGTGCTGGTTGGTGTATCAACAGGTGTGGTGGATTGTGGGAGAATGGAAATTATCCCATATGCAGGCCCAGGGGAAGAATAGTGGGCCTGCAAGCAAAGCCCGATATTTTTTAAAACGCCCCTTTTCATAACACGCCCCATTCGCACGTCAATTTTCAAAAAAGAACAAATGACAGCAACCCAAGTAGTAACAAACAAACTTGCATTAAAATGTTGCGGGGTTTTCTCTGCTTTAATATTCAAAATAGAAACAATGTGTAAATGGCTGTGTTTTAACTTCAAAAAAGCAAGCAACGCAGTCAGTAATTGCCAAATTTGCAAGTGCTCATTTTCAACTAAAATTGGAAGAGGCAAATTAGGACGAATTTCAACAGAAAACCAGTCTCAAACTTCAAATCGTGAGGGAAGTCATGCGACCACATTAGCATTTATGTGTCTTCGCTGTCGCCATTGTTATAGATAAATTGTCTCACTTATCAGATGGTGTGTGCAATTCTTGTTGGTGGAGGAAAGTACGAAACTTATTTCAGTCATTTCATTTGGTAAAGAACTCTACAAAAGAAGAGACAATTCAGAGTCCAGATCGTTTCATTTCAAACGGCAATTACCGTCTTCTGTTTCGCTCTCTCAGCGAAGCCTTCCAAATCGCAAAGTGTTTCAAACAGGCTTACATGCAACTGCCTCTAAATCTTCACCGCGAAAAGTGCTGTTTTCTTCAGTGCAAGAACAAGAGCCAACATCAACCAAACATATAACGTATATCAAGTCTGTTTGAAATTAATGAAACTCAAGTAAAGGTTACTATAGTTTACCCCAGTCGTAATGTTGCTATTCCAACACTTCACGACAAACAATCTCCATTAGCATAATGGCAAAAACATTTCTTCCGTCAAGTAAACAATGAACAGTCTGTTCTTGTTCCATTTTTAATCGAAAAGTGATCAATTTTCGAATTTTAAGCTTATCGAGAGCCTTTGTGATCAATCACTGATCTAATTATAGAATCCAACAGCAAACAGCCAATCAGAATGCTGCATTTGTGGGCGAACACAGAAAGTACAAAATACCGGGCCTTGCTTGCAGGCCCACTATTCTTCCCTTGGGCCTGCACGTGGGCTAAATGGAAATTGGGTTGATCAATATGGTGGATGGTAAGTCTTGATGGTGTGTTGGTGAATTAGAAAAAATAGAATTAATAAAAGAATCATTAAGGAAGTCCATATGCAAGACTGTGGAAGGTTGTATTTTCTCAGCTAGATTTGGGCCAATGTTAGTAAAATAGTTGCAAAATCTATTAGCAATTTCTTCTGGATCAGAAATTTCCAAATTATCAGTTTAGATTGCTGATGTCTGTATGACTTTAGCTTTTTTCTTGCATATTATTTCATTTAATAGCTTCCATGTTGCAGGATTGTTCGATTTACAATTTTCCAAATTATTTTTCGTAATATAATGCTTTGAAATTCTTAGAGAGTGATTCAATTTATTTTTATATGTTTTGTAAAATGTTTCAGATGAGGAGTGGGGGTTCTGCAAAAATTTGTTACATAATTTTTTTTCAATAGAATTTAAAAGGCCATTTGACAACCATGGTTTGCTTCTGAAACCATGCCTAATTCTTTTTTTTTCAACGGAAAACAATTGTTATAAATCTCACTAAATTTATAAGAAAATGTTTTGTAAGCAGTTTTTGGATAATCAATTCTTTTTACTTTTAAATCTAATTTCATTATTAGGACATCACATACTAATATGGTTTCATTGCAATCTTTATATGACGGATCCATAAGGTGTTGTCAAATGTGTAATCATCGGCCAACAACTTCTTGATATTCGAGCTTCTCAAACCACACACCAACCGATCTCGCAATGCCTCGTTGAGATATGCTCCAAAATTACACGTAGATGCGAGTGGCTTTAGATTCACCATGACACGGATTTGCCTTCTTTCTGAACACAGTTATGAAAACAATATCGTTCAGCGATTACTAGCTTCTTGGGGGTGTAATGATCTCTCAAAATAGCATCGAGTTGAGTATAGGTCTTTGTAGACACTGAATCCGGCGAACAGAGATCCGATAGAACATCATACGTTCTCGCACCGATAGCAGGTGTATATGTTCATGTTCACATACCATAAAAACAATTGCGCCCAAAAGAAATCTGTTGGGCAGAACACAAATATATAAATATACCCCCCCCCAATTATCGCACTAGGAATGGCCATGAAACAAGCTGACAAAAAATGATGTAAAGGTTTGTGTTAATGCAAGGTTAAGCTAACTGGCTTTTTGACAATATATATATATATATATATACCAATAGATCAGTTGGTTCTGGGCAACGCGCTGTCGCTAATATTACCAAACTGCCTTTTCTTAGTATACCTTGCGGCCATTGTTTTAGATTTCACAAAGGCGACGAATGTTCGGGTTGTGAGTTTAAGCACACCTGTTTTAAATGCGCTGGCTCACACCCGGCCATAAGATGTAATTTTCGTGGCCTACCAAAACAAGATCAGAACCGAAAAAGCATTATATAAACATCAAATAAAAAAACAGTCAAAATATAGGAAAAATATATATATTTAACGTTTCGGGGCAAGCCCCTTCTTCAGAAACGATTAAATTACTTTACAAGGCCTTGGCAGGGTGAAGGGGATTAGTGGGACTAGTTTGTTTACGCATAAAGAGAGCTCTGAAACAAAAAGTAGGGATTGTTTCATGGTTGATTATCACCCAGCTTTAAGTGCTCTCTACGGAATATTTAGGGAGCTACAACACATTCCAGTCAGCATTCCATTAAAGTTAACCCCTGAGGTATGGAGCGAAATTCCTGTTTTAAAACGTGATACACTTCCTAACAATATGGATGGTAACATGGTCTATGAACTGTCCTTTGATCATAACCGGATGGCTTCTTCTAAGGATGAATGGAGATGGCAGAGATATATGTCTTCTACTCGCAGTGGATTCAAGGGAATCAGACGTCTTGCCAGGTGTTCTGGCTCTTACAAGTGTACAAACAGCCTCTGTAGCTTCCACAAACAAGGCAGACCTAATTTGACACATTTTGACAAGGCAAGTGCTTGTAAATTTTGTGGCAACAGTGCTGATTTTGTACCCTGTTCAGCTAGTAAAGTTTGGGAGTTTAATGATTGTTGCCAATCAGATTATCATCACGGATATCACACATGTCCAGTTATTGTCAAACCAGATGAAAAGTAAGCTTCTGATGCTTTCAGGAAAAAGTTTGTCGCTAATCCAGAAATGAAGCCTCGCAAAGCAGTAGCCTCTATTATCACTAAAGCTATAAAAGAGAGCTGTTTGGGATGACATTGATTGCTTGACTGAACGTCTTATCGATCCATATCTTCCAAAAAATGTAAAGCAGAAAGTTAGAAAGGAACTGCATCCGGAAGGCCACAGCTTCGAAGCCGTTCAATTGTTGAAAACAAAGCTTGACAAAAAAGATCCTCTGTACATCTTTGACATGAACGACAGCCGTTTTCACAGTGATAGGCCTACATTTGTTTTCAGCACAAGTCAAGAAAAGATGCTTCTTGCCTTAAAAATGAAGCGGAATAGCAAATTTCCCCTTGAGAAGGAATATTATCATTTTGATGGAAAGCATGGTAGAGTTAGGGGGATGAAGACTTTGACTGCCAGTGTCTTCCACCCACTGTTGGGAAAAATGGTGCGTTTGGCAGTCATGCACTGCAAATACGAAGATTCTACCAATGTGGCACTTTTTTGGCAGCTTTTCAATAAAGCTCTCCAAGCTGCTTCACAAAACCCAATGACAACTTTCCAACCATATGGCTATATGATGGATGAAGGTGGGGCAGAGTGGGCCAGATTACAAAGAGAGTGTGGTGAGCAAGAAGTTGAAGTTGCTAAGAGCTGCCAATTCCATTACAGGCAAGCTGTTAACAGAGAAGCCAGAAAACTGAATAGCTCAACCTCCAAATTTGAATTTAAGAAGATTGCAAATACAATGCTTATCGCTAACTCTCCTTCTGCTTATGACAAAGTGTATGGGAAGATGGTAGCGTTCATCAAAGAGAAACCCACCAAAAGAAGTTTCTTCAAATCATGGATTGATTGGTGGGATGAAAGAAAACAACATGTACTTAACGCCTTCTGTTCTCTTCCATTTGCACGTACAACAAACCTTAGTGAGTGTCTCCATTCATCATGGGAAACTACCAGAGAGGGAAAAGCAGTGGCGGAAAGCAGAGTCCTATGCTGATGATTTGGTACATGATGAGACACCTATTCCTCATTGTGAATCTCTTCAATTCTTTTACAGTTGATCCACATTGTACACACAAGCACTAAGAACGGAGGTTCTGGGGGAAAAGAGGTAAATTCTAAGAGTGTGTATGATGATAGTGCATCAAGCCTGTCTGGTTTATCGCAGAGAAGTTAGCAAGTTAGAAGGAAGCAATGAAAATAGACAGCCTGAGAGAATAGGAAAATACAGAAAAACCAGAAGCAAACAGTTTTTGAAGAACTTGTGCAAAGCAAAAAGTAAAAAAAAACGTGAATCTCTGTAGCATCGTCATGAACTGTAAATAACTGCCATCGCATGTACAACATTACCTTGGCACAAATAAAGGATCATTCGGTCACGTACGAGGTTAATATCTGCAGCCCAGCCCTCTTGCAACTGCCCTCTTGCACCTGCCCAGAAGGTCTGAAACTAAAAAGGAATGTGTGTAAACATATTCTGTGGGTTTACATGTTTGTTCTTGGTGCAGAGGAATCTAACCCTTTGCTTCAACAGGTTTACCTTACTGCTGAAATCCAGTGTGTGCTAGAGAGATCATCATCTAACGAAACAAGCACTTATGTGAACAATGCACACTCTACAAATGAAGAATCATCAAGGCCATTGCTCATCGCCATTGGCAGACAATGAGCGTTGTTATCTACCAGCTAGCCAAGCTATGAATTCTAATCCTTTCTTACTTAAATTTGTGCAAGAAAATGTGAAAGTATGCACAGGATGCGTACGTCCAAATAATACATTCAGAAACAATGGTATTACATCGTCTCCACCGTATGACATTAGGGACGTCAAGATCAGAGGACGGGTTTGAGATGACAGATTATGGGGCTGTGCCGAAGGTCTGACCTAGGCATGTCAACATCGCCCGAGCAGGAAATTTAAGATTTCTATACACAATTGCCACAACGCTGTAAAAATATTTTACGAAACTTTATTATGACTACTTATAAGAAGGCTAGAAAGCTTTTGATAAATTTATTAGAGCTATTTAAATTATATAATTGATGATGATGAAGAGTTTATGTTGCTCTACGATGCACATTTTTCAAAAAATCCATAGTTCCCTTATACAGACTCTGTATAAGGATACAGACTCTTTATAAGGATGCAGAGTATGAAAGATTTGCTTTTGACGAGATTGGCGACACTGAGTTTGAAGCTGAATTCCGTTTTAGAAAAGTGGATATATTTCAACTGGCAGAGGTATTGGCTATACCAGATTGGTTTATTTGTCCCCAAGGAACAAAGGCAAACAGCATCAAAGGTTTATGTTCCATTTTAAAGCGATTCACTTACCCCTGCCACTACTCCGATATGATTCCACTTTTCAGCAGGACAGTTCCACAATTAAGTACGATTACTAATGTTGTTGTGGATTACATCTACAATCAACATGGTCACAGGTTTTCTCAGTGGAATGGAATGCTTTTTCATCCTGAAAACCTCCAAGCATATGCCAACACAATTCATTTCATTTCAGAGAGGCAGCACTTGATAATTGCATTGGCTTTGTTGATGAAACTGTGCGACCAATAAGTAGACCTGGGAAACTGCAAAAATCTGTGTACAATGGTCATAAACGTGTACGTGCACTAAAATTTCAGTCTGTAGCCCTTCCAAATGAGACGATAGGGCACTTGTATGGCCCAGTTGGTAAGACATTTTAAAATTCAGGGTAATCTTTCAAAAATGTACCCAAGGCCAAAGCATAAGTAATTTGAAATAAACTTTAATGTCAGATAAATTAAGTTAACCCATTGAGTGGCAGCACTCTTCCCTAGTTCCCTGACGAGAAAAAAATGTCTAGCATTAGACATAGTAAAACTAGAAGTCACTATTGCAAGAAAAATGCTGTCTTACCCCAACAAATGAAAGGCAGCATGTGCAATTTGCTGAATAAGGGGTTGTTTATATGATACCACTTTGCCAGGACGAGATATGAGGCAGGATGATTCGATATATTGAAATAAGTCACTGTGCATGATTCAGCAAAACACATTATTTTCTAGAGATGGAATATACTATAAACGAAAGGTTGCTCAAGCGGCAATAATAACCTTGAACTACAAGATCTTCTCTACAACATTTGAGTTCTGTTAAATTCACCAGCATTTGAACTTTTGCTTGCTAAATAGCCTAGTGACTTATTTCAATACATCAAAATCATCTTCCATCATGCAAACAGCCCCTAAGAAACCTGTTCAGGAGGCAGGAAAAGTGAAATTTGAATATCAATCACCTTATGCAAAGGTCAGCTAAAACCAAAGCCCTGGGGATTCATTATATACCAATAAACTTCATTTAGTTAAATTGCCTTATGTGTGAAGTGTACTTTGCAGGGGTAGATCAATGCTCATCTCACAGGAGGGGTGCAGATTTCCCTGGGGGGGGGGTGCATTGGTGCGCTGCCCTTACCAAAGGGGCTGACCGGGCTGTTGTATATATTTTTGGCATATCGCAATAACCCCTGTTTTGTGACCCCTGCCCATGTGTCAACTGATCAAGTGTTTAAGAAACCGCCCGCTCGAATTTCATTTCAAACATGATCTTCGCTAGAACTCTGGCAACTGGCTTTACCAAACATAAAATAAAAACAGTCTCGGTTTGGTTGAAAACGATTTTCCAGTCCCGCTGCAAATAACGAAATATTTTGCCCCTTCAAGGCATGTTGGGACGTCTCGAAAATTGAAAATTACGCATTTTTCATTGATCCGTAAAATATTATATTCGCGTCAACTAGCAATGAATTTTATATCATTTCACTCATGAAACTTTCTAGTTTTCTTGAAGACGAGGTATTTTTATTTAATATTAGTTGTAAAGGAAAAATTAAGCACAATGGAAACCCTACTTATCACTATAAATCAAAGAGTGGAAATGGCCTTGATTTAGATTCTATTTTTCAAACTTTGGGACCTTGGCAAACGCTCGGGCCTATTTTTCAAGGAACTATACCTTTGTTGGCAAATATATGCAAAAATCCCTGTACGATTTCAGTATTTCAAAAGTTATGGCCGTTTGTATCAACACACACGCGTGTATTTGCGATGAGTCGTCATATTGTAAAATCACTCTGTCTCGTGCAGATTCTAACTTAAATCAACAATATACAGCTTACCTCGTTACTAACTCAAGTTTATCCTTTTTAAGTCAATTTCCAATTCCTTACATAGCCGACCCCATCATTAAACACAATAGTACATGTCCTTCTCTTCCTCTTGATCTGTCCGACCTTGGTTGTTTCAGAAATTTGGTTCGAAACGTTACGTTGCTCACACTTGACATATGTAAATATCCTTTCGAAACAGGGTTTGTTCAAAAATGTTATGGAGCGATGAGTCGTCATATTGTAAAATCACTCAATATCGAGACATAAATACAACAATGTACAGCAGCTTCCCTGCTTTAGTCAAGATTAATTACAACTTGTGTCGCGTGACCGAAATGTACAAGCTTTGCACCGCTAATTATAGAACTACTTTGTTTACGACCTTTTCGGTAAGCAGGATAAACATAGGTGTGCGGGAGGAAAAAATAGTGGGACGGACAATAGTTTGACCGATATTGAAGGAAATTTTCCTGGAAATTTGTCCGAGGGATGGGGGGAGACAAAATTTTCAAGACTTAATATGAAGACTTAGAATAATGAAATTTAGTATAATTACATAGGTGATTATTGAAAATTCTCCATGCTGATTGGTTACCGTTGAGGTGATTATTACGCGATAATCACCTAAGTGATTTTCAAAATGGCGGCCGAAGCCGTTTTGTCAATTAAAAGACGAAGAAGTGTGCATTTTTTATTTTTTTCCAAATAATCACCTGTGAAATTACACTAATAATCACCTGTGAAATTACACTTCGGTGATTATCGTGAATAAAAACCTCGACTTCATCTCGGTTTTTATTCACCGATAATCACCTCGCCTTCGGTGAATAATTGTTAAATAAAAAAGGCTTCACACGGCTTTTACATACAGTCTGGTGGTAATGAGAACCAAAAAAATTATTTTATGTGGCCTACTGTAAGCTTTCCTTTCATCATTTGCCCGATTTTTAAGCCAAACTGCCAGGATTTTAAATAGAATCTGCCTGACAAAAAAAAATATTGGGGGGGGGGCAAACCCCAGTGGTATGCCTCTGAGAATAAATTAACAGGTCGTAGTCAGCAATTTACACGAATTACACCTATTCTGCATTTTATACTTGGTCTGCTGGCATTTGCAATCTGCGATCTGCAAATATACTGATATTCTTAGCCTTTGGTAGAGTATGTGAACGGTTCAGTGCCTTTTTTAACTATATATCGGGGGGGGGGCAATTGCCCCCCCAGGGAAAGAATTTCCCCCCCCCCCCCAGTAAAGCCATTTCTGCCTCCGAAGTGCGAAGCAAAATTGCTCATGATTGCTGTCAGAATTGCAGTTGATTTACTTGATGAGATTATGCCCTTCCATAGCCTCCTCCACAGCCATCTTGTGTGTAATTCATATTGTTCTTCACAGAGTATTTCATAATAGCGATAGAGTTCATGCAAACAATCCGATAAAATGCTAGCCTTTCCAAGTCTTGCGACTATTTCCTAGCACTCTCCTCCACAGAGGCGTTGTGTTTTGTTTTGGGAGGTTTTATTGCAAAATCTTTTTTTAAAAAATATCAAGTTATATTAAGAGCCCCCTCCCCCAATCGCCACAAAAACCATCCTCTCAGAAAGGCTAAATCCGTAGATAGTTGGGGGGGGGGGGTTACACGTTACATGCTCGAAGCTGAAACTGATTAAGTACGTCTCAACTGAGGAAAAAGACGAGGAACTTGATTTGTGAAATCTCGTTAAAGCAGTTGTAGATATGGTTCCAAAAAGAATAGATTTAGTTTAGATTTTTAACTGTTAAATACATGTATGCATCATCATAGCATGACTATTTCTTCTCAGACTTATTCTGTATGAAAAAGCAACGCAA